TCACCCAGCAGCTCTGGCCGCTCCTCTCGGAGTGGGCGCCACTGGAGCCGGGCCACTTCACCCAGCGCCTGCCAAACGTGAGGAGTGGCCGGTTCGGTCGGCCGGAGGCCCCGTGGCCCACGGGCGCCCAAGCCTCTTCTGCCCGTCTTCGGGCAATTTGGGGTCGCGAAAACCGTGGTGGATGGACAAACTTCTTGGACATGTTGGTCGGATCCCGTATTTAAAGCACCCAGGCAATGCGAATTCATGTGGTCTTCCTTGTCCAATCGTGGAAGTGGACAGGAGGCCGGTTTTAAGATTACAACTTTGATGGACTGATAGATTTCACGACATCCTGGCCCCCGCAAACTTAGCGGAAGGAACCTGCAACCGGTCCTCAAGGAGGCTCCTCCAAACAGGATCCGTTCAGTTCGCCAGCGTTTGCCAGTGAACCCATGTCCATGCCATCCATGCACCCCACTAGCTTGGGTTCAGTTCAATGTCAACCTGCAATGTAGCAATCAATGGGGGGCATACAGGTCGGCCATGAGGCAAACTACTTCAAGCAGAGCATCAGACCTCTAGCAGGTTCTGGGAGGAGGCCAAACCTTTCGCCGAGTGCTGAAGGATATCAAGAAATTGAACCTTCTGGCCTTCTGGGGAGACATGTTTTGAAAAGCGCGCACTTCCACCCAACGCAATCCCTTTGACGCTCTCCACCGCGGGGTGTCTCTCCTGATTGAAGTCACGCCCTCCCCAAACGAAAGAGAAAAAGGGACATCGGCCCGGTAGCCCCCAATTGACCGATCAATTGACCAGGGCAAATTGATTGCAACACGTTTGTGTCATGCCATTGCATTGGGGTTTACAAGAGCCCAACTTAACTGGCCCCCCAAACCCCAGCTGGGTGCTAAATCGCCCGGTGCAGACTTCCCCAAAGGAAAGCACCGGGGGGGGGGGGGGATGTGTTTGTTCCAAAGCACGGATGGACATAGGCCCACTTGGCACCCAGAAACTCCAGACAGAACATCCAGACAGAAAATCCAAAAAATCGAGACCCCAAACCCAAAAAATCCGCTCTTACGGCTGGCGGTTTTCTTTTTGGAAGGACCTTGTGCTTCCGGTCCCTGGCTGCCGGCCTCGCGCCCTGGCGCCGGCCGGTGCAAACCCAGGCCCGGGCTGGTTTATATATCTGTATATATATATATAGATAGATGTGTATATGTGTATCGGTGTATTTATAATATATTATATATATACGTGTGCCTGGAGCCTCCTTCTGACCCTTACAAAATGGTTGGTCAGTACCCAAAATGATGGGGTCATTGACCCATTTTTAAAGGGTCATGGAGACTTCAGGTGGATCAGGAAGCACCTTTTTAAGAACCAGCTGGAAACATGGTTGCTTACCTACTCTGTATGGCTATTGCCTGCAGAAAAAAAGCCCCAAAATGGTTACCCTGAAGAAAAGACCCCACCCCATTTGTGTAACGGTGTGTGCTAACTTTCAGACGGTACCTTTTGTTTGTTCGCCTTGGCTAAGAAGGAAATTAGAGGGACAGGACACCCCACCAATTTTGGGGCTCCTCTATTTGGAGACAAACGCAAATGGACGTGTTGTGTGCTTTTTTGCAGGAGGAGGCGAACCAACCTTTGCGGTTGGCGTTAAGAGGGAGCCCAACAGCAAACCAACCGGGGGTCCCCTTTGAGGTGTAGTTATATAAACCTCACGGGGTTTGTGTATGTTTTTCAACCGTATTCACCAAACAGCAAGTGGGGGAAGGGCCCTTTGAGGCGCGACTTGCTCGGATGCGACGCAGTGAACTCGCTCCCCCAGTGCCCTTCAATTGAACTCGACCGGTTTCTTCACCGGCAAGAGTCCCGTACCAAGGGAACTCCCAAAATGGCCTTGGGGTTTCCTTTGGGGTTTCCTTTTAAATTATTTTTGAAAGGGGCCCCCCTTTTCTTGACGCATACTTCCCCATCAAACAATTGACCCCACAAGGCCGTGAATCACCTCAAAGAAGGCGCAACGTTTTTCGGCAGCCTGCCTTCCTGCAAGCCTTCGAAAGCAGGAAATTCTACAGGAGCCCAACACCAAGTACAAGAGGGGAACACGTAAAGATCCACTCTTGGTGCATTTTGCGCTATAAGGTCTCATGTCACAATATTGAGTGAGTTGCCGCTCACAGAAAATGTAGGAAACCATTTGGCCGTGGGTCAAAACCACTGGGATCCCATTTTGGTAGGTGAATTCACCCATTTTAGGCTTCCTATTTTAGTGGTTGGGTTGAATCGGAGGTTCACTGGGGGGTAGCCGATTTGGATTTTGCCCCACCATTGGTGCAATGGGCTTCTCTCAACTTTTCGCTTTTCCAACCCGCAGGATGCCGCGGGCAGAAAGTTGGCGCAGCAGGAGTGGGCGCCGGACTTTCTTCTGGCACCCGTTTGGGCCCCCAACGCCTTGGCGGGGGTTAGGTGCAACATGGGGTCTCAAAATGGGCGCGTTTTTTTTTTTAAAGGTTGGAACCCACAAAATTAGAGTTGCCCTTTTGGTGTCCCTTTAAAACAGCCAGAAAAGAAGTACCAACTAGAAAATCAGACCGAACCCCCTCCGGAGGTGTTTTTTTTTCGGGAAACTTAGGGAAGTCGCTTATTTTTGCGGTTCCTCTGGAGACAAAACCAAATAGCCCACAGAAACCTGCAGGAAGATTGGCCGCACCGAGCAAACACATTTGGTTGACCCAAAATGAGCGTATGGAGTCCCCAACATAAATAGGTACGGCCGCGTGAAATTTGCATGGACCCATTTATTGCTATGGTGTGATTATGTCTTTCTCCCAACTATTTTGCATGTTAGGATTGTTTTTTCGGACCCGCTAGTTCGCACCCAGCAGCTAAATCCCTTTTGACAGGGTTGTTTTGAACATCACCTTGTGGAACACTCCAAGGAACCCCGAAAGCCGAGGATAGTGATTTCCTTGGCAGGGGTTTTGGGAGCCACAGGCTTTCCCTTCATTTTGGGCTTCCCATGTAACAAGCCCACGTTTGGGCAACGAACAGCACTACCATGCAGGTGTTTTGAAGCATCTGCTTGTAAACCCTTTTATTTTTTCAGGGGGGTGTATTTGTTTGGGAACCCTATTGGCCGAAATCCCGCCGACCTAAGCTGTATGCAGTGCAGGGTCTTTCAAAGAATGTCCAAAAGCAGCCATTGAGTGTAGGACCGGTCCAGTTTGTCCGGTATGAGTGTAATGGGCAGGAGGTCTTTTCGACGGGACCTGAGGTCATCCGACAGTTCCGCGCGGCAGCCTAAGTGGAATTGGGGCTTAGTTGCCATTCAGTGGACTCAACCCTTCCGATTTTTGTTGCCCGGTTCGCATGTTTGCTGGGTTTACTGGATTCCTTGCTTGACATCCCCCGATGTTTGCTTGATTCGGCACCAAGTCGAAATGCTCAATGAACCGAAATGCGTCCGGTCGCTGGTGTCAACTGGGAGGAAGACGGCCACAAGAAGGTCAACTTTGGATTGATCCATGCTAAGGGGAACTTCGTCAGACACATCGTGTTCTTACCAAAAGGAACCCGCCCCTGATGTTTAATCGGTTCGCCCGATGTATCCGAGGGTGACACTGGGTGGGGGGCATCCAAGGGAACCATACTGGCTGGCCTATGCTGGCCTCAGTGCGCGTGGTTGCCCAAGCGAAGCGCCCTATAGGGACTTTGCAAGTGGGATGGTCACCTGAAGTACTTTGGGGGTTGATCAACAGGTCCTAGTGGTTTTCCACCCACCCAAAAATATCGACCTCGAAATGGAAAAGTTTCCCGTGGTGAAAACTGGGGGGCCGAACGGAATATTGATCAACCCCAACTTGAGGAAGCAGTCGGTAGGAAACATTGGCCGGGCCTGGGCCCTTGCCACAGACAGATCTCCAGTAGCTTCAAAATGCAGGCATCCCCAAACGTGCGCACTGGCAACATCTTGCGAAAGTCGACCCCCTTTGTGTTGGCACATTGAAAGGCTTCCATTTGCTGAAGAGTGTGTCTTATTTTCCCCCGGCGGTTCTGAATGGAATCTATCACTGCAAATATGAGGGGGTGTCTTATTGTCCCCTGGCGGTGTCTTGAAGGGAATCTATCACTAGCTGTAATCATGCTTATTTTTTGCAGGGGGGCCCCCTGGCGGTGTTTTGAAGGGAATCCATCACTGCAAATATGTTTGTTTCTTCCAGGGGGCGTACTCGCGAATGAAAGAAGGTGAAGCCTCTTATTCTTGGTGGGCTCCTTTGGGCAGTGTCGATCATTGATCAAGGGAAGCCTTCGATCGGAGCCTCCTTCGACCCTTCCGCGCGGCCGACCGCGTTCCCGTGCCCAATGCGCCGGCCCAAAGCTTTTCAGCAGAGACCAGGGGCCTTGGGCGCCACAAGCCATTAAACGACAGAACTACAGATCAGTTGGGATGATGACATGCTTGCTGTTGGGAAGCATTTTACAGTTCTGCGTATTGTGTTTTAGTGGCTGAAATCCCCACGTAGCTGCTAAATTTTGAGTTTTTGCTCCCCTTCCAACGTCAACCAAAGTTGTTTGCGATGTTGTTTGAGCTTCATGCTGCACTTGGTTTCCGGACAACCCCCCTGCAAGCCTGCATTTGAGGTCCAAATTTAGCAGATTTAGCAGATTTACACACACAAACACACATATATTCAGGAAACCGCAAGGCAGATCTTCAATTTGTTCAGACGTCGGAATTTGCAGCTTGGACTGGAGGGAGGTCACCCAAGAGTTGCTGGTTTAGGCAGGGAAGGAGTTGGAATGACCCCGAGATGAACTATCCATCCCATGGTTTTCTTGGCCTCTTGGCTTCTTGGCTTTTCGGCTTTCTGGTTGGTGTCTGCGGCGTTTGGGGCTTTTTGGCTTCCCAGAAAATTCCCAAAAAAAACGGTTCATTCCCCAAAGCCCCGGACTCGGAAAGTCGACTTGCCCCTCTCGCACCGCCGTTCTTTTGAACTGGCACCGCGCGGATGGCGGAGGAGGCGGGCGGCGGGCGGCGGGCGACGGGCGGCTGGCTTGAAGCCCGGAAAATGCGTGGAGGTGTGTGTGTGTGTGTGTGTGTGTGTGTGTGTGTGTGTGTGTGTGTGTGTGTGTGTGTGTGTGTGTGTGTGTGTGTGTGTGTGTGTGTGTGTGTGTGTGTGTGTGTGTGTGTGTGTGTGTGTGTGTGTGTGTGTGTGTGTGTGTGTGTGTGTGTGTGTGTGTGTGTGTGTGTGTGTGTGTGTGTGTGTGTGTGTGTGTGTGTGTGTGTGTGTGTGTGTGTGTGTGTGTGTGAGTGTGTGTGTGTGTGTGTGTGTGTGTGTGTGTGTGTGTGTGTGTGTGTGTGTGTGTGTGTGTGTGTGTGTGTGTGTGTGTGTGTGTGTGTGTGTGTGTGTGTGTGTGTGTGTGTGTGTGTGTGTGTGTGTGTGTGTGTGTGTGTGTGTGTGTGTGTGTGTGTGTGTGTGTGTGTGTGTGTGTGTGTGTGTGTGTGTGTGTGTGTGTGTGTGTGTGTGTGTGTGTGTGTGTGTGTGTGTGTGTGTGTGTGTGTGTGTGTGTGTGTGTGTGTGTGTGTGTGTGTGTGTGTGTGTGTGTGGTGTGTGTGTGTGTGTGTGTGTGTGTGTGTGTGTGTGTGTGTGTGTGTGTGTGTGTGTGTGTGTGTGTGTGTGTGTGTGTGTGTGTGTGTGTGTGTGTGTGTGTGTGTGTGTGTGTGTGTGTGTGTGTGTGTGTGTGTGTGTGTGTGTGTGTGTGTGTGTGTGTGTGTGTGTGTGTGTGTGTGTGTGTGTGTGTGTGTGTGTGTGTGTGTGTGTGTGTGTGTGTGTGTGTGTGTGTGTGTGTGTGTGTGTGTGTGTGTGTGTGTGTGTGTGTGTGTGTGTGTGTGTGTGTGTGTGTGTGTGTGTGTGTGTGTGTGTGTGTGTGTGTGTGTGTGTGTGTGTGTGTGTGTGTGTGTGTGTGTGTGTGTGTGTGTGTGTGTGTGTGTGTGTGTGTGTGTGTGTGTGTGTGTGTGTGTGTGTGTGTGTGTGTGTGTGTGTGTGTGTGTGTGTGTGTGTGTGTGTGTGTGTGTGTGCCCTCTTTCCAGGGTGAAGCTTCGATTGCCAGCAAGTGCCCTGATTGGAACTCAAAGGGCGGTTTGAGACTTTGCCTGCGCTGCTTCGCAGGAAGCTTCAAATTCCCCTCCCGACAGGTTGGGAGTTGTTAGCTTTCAGTCGACCTGACAGCTGTGAGGTATCAAGTGGGCCCATGTTGTTTCATGTTGAGATTGGTATGTGCGCTATTGATCGTTGATCCAATCAGAAGGTTTTGACATGTGGCAGATGTATTTCAAGCTCCCCGTCAAGATCAATAGCTTTTGTTTTGCCTCGTCCGTCCCTTCACTGCTGGCAAGACATTCTAACATCACGTAGCCCGCGTCCTGCGGTTGGCAGGAGTCAGCGCAAGCTGAGACTCCTCCTCTTGACAGTCCCTTGGCTGCACCAGACAAGAAGCAAACAGCCGAAGATGTGGGCTGGCGTTTTGGGTCAAAATTCAGCCAGGAAATCGGACCGCAGGTTTTGGTCCATGCCACTTACCGAGGCTTTGGGGGTAGCATCTTTTAGCCATTCGTTCGGCAAGGTGGGCCTCAGAGCTCCGAGATACCCAAGGACTTGGGTGAGGAGTTGGTGTTTTCTCACCTTGGCTACCAGCCGTCGGTTTGGCGAACTCGTTGGTGCCTTTCTTCCTTACGGTGCAAAAATTTGCGCAGACGAAATTCAGAATGATTTACTCAAGTTCCAACTTGTGCTGATCACGATCCGAGTTGTTTTGCTGTGCCTGACCTATCCCTTCATTGCCGACAACATGTTGAGCTTGCGGCCAGCAATTGCCCGGACCGTAAATATGTATTCAGGCATTGTTGGCCCGGCAACTGGGGTACAGTTTTTTGGTCGTGCCCCAACATGTGGTTGGTCGGAAATCCAACATGTTGCAAGTATATATTCCAGCATCAATCATGCTTGCATCCTGCGATTGGCAGGAGTCAGCGATCCAAGCTGAAACTGCTCCTTCTAACAGTCGCTTGTCTCCATTGGGTGCAGTAAACATTTGGTGACGATGCATCATGCGGCGTTGTTTCAATTGCTGCTCCTCTGTGTTGCTTTTGGTTCTGAATTCCTTGGCAAGGTGAGCCGCAAAGATCAGAGATACCAGAGGACTTGTGCGGAAGTGCTTGGCTATGTCAAATTTTGCCAGTGTCGTGTGTTTCCTGACGAAATTTGTGCACAAGCTAAGTGAATGAAAAGTTCTAGGCTGCTGCAAGCTTCTCAATGTTCATGATCCGGATAACTATGCCTCACCCACCCTCAACTACTGACAAAACAATACAGAGAAACAACTTCAGGCTCTCTTGCCTTTGGCAGGAGTCCGCGATATCTCAAGGAGCCGGAAGTGCTCCGAACAGTCCCTTGATTGCATTTCGTTGCATGCAGCGATATGTGCTTTGGCATTGGTTTGTTTTCCTGCTCCGTTTGCCCTTGCCAAGCGACCTTGGCAAGGTGAGCCGCAGAGATCAGAGATACCAAAGGACTTGTGCGGAAGTGCTTGGCTATGTCAATTTGCCAGTGTTGTGTGTTTTCGGATGAGATGTGCACAAGCTAAAGTGAATGAGAAATTCTATGCTGCTGCAAGCTTGATCCGTGTGGTTTACCTTGGCCTCACCATGCCTCACCCACCCTCAACTACTGACAAAACAATACAGAGAAACAACTTCAGGCTCTCTTGCCTTTGGCAGGAGTCCGCGATATCTCAAGGAGCCGGAAGTGCTCCGAACAGTCCCTTGATTGCATTTCGTTGCATGCAGCGATATGTGCTTTGGCATTGGTTTGTTTTCCTGCTCCATTTGCCCTTGCCAAGCGACCTTGGCAAGGTGAGCCGCAGAGATCAGAGATACCGAAGGACTTGTGCGGAAGTGCTTGGCTATGTCATTTTGCCAGTGTCGTGTGTGTCCTCACGAGATTTGTGCGCAAGCTAAGTGAATGAAAAGTTCTTGGCTGCTGCAAGCTTCTCATTGATGTTCATGATCCGTGTGGTTGATCTATGCGTCGCCCCCCCCCCTCCCCCCATTAACTGCCGACAACAATACAGAGAAACAACTTCAGGCTCTCTTGCCTTTGGCAGGAGTCCGAGATATCTCAAGGAGCCGGAAGTGCTCCGAACAGTCCCTTGATTGCATTTCGTTGCATGCAGCGATATGTGCTTTGGCATTGGTTTGTTTTCCTGCTCCGTTTGCCCTTGCCAAGCGACCTTGGCAAGGTGAGCCGCAGAGATCAGAGGTACCAAAGGACAGGCCAAGAGACAGTTGCTTGTGTTTTCACCTTGGTAGATGCCCCGGATCTTGCATCCTGTTGGCTGTTGGCAGGAGTCGGCGAAAGCTGAAACTGTGCCCAACTGCCCCTTGCCAGCAATGTGTAGTTGTGTTTCTGAGCGAACCACCCACATGTTTGGGGTTTGTCGCTTTTTGAGAGAAAGAGCGACACGCGTGGCATGCCACGTAGCATGCGCCTTCCGTGCGAGCCTCAAGGTGAGCCGGAGACACCAAAGGACCGGGTACAGCCGTATGCCAATGTTGTGCATTTTCTGGGTAAATAGGCCGAGGGGTATGCCAACAGGGTACGTGCGGCTAAACTCAATCATATTTTAAAATCTATCGAAATACGTTCAAGAGCATTGTGTCATGTCCCTTTGTTGCTGACCAAATGTGTACCAAAATGTTACGGAGAACCTTCAACCTCAATGGCAGGAGCCAGCGATGCAAGCTGAAACTGCTCCTACCAGCCCCTTGTCTGTGGCATGCAGCAAGCTGTTGATGGGGCGTGATGTTTTTCGTTTTGCTGGTGGCCGGTTACCGGCCTCAAGGTGAGCAGAGGTCGGAGATACCAAAGGACGGGGGCAAGTTGAAGTTGGATCTGTGCGAAAAGTAGGGAATGAGAGATCGAATGAACCCAGGCTTTTGACCCCTTAAGGGAAACCGCCAGTTGGATGGTTTATAAGGGTCATTCCAATTGTGCCTATCGCACCAGCAAGATTGGCGAAGTGCACTGGCCAAGCTCGGAAGACAGCTTGCCACCTTCACGAAAAGACCAAGGAAGTCCAAAGTGGCATTCGGCATGGAGCGGATTTTGCGATTGCGAGCCTTGCAATATCGGCACGTGTATTTAGGGGAACCCCCAAAGTGGGTGGGTTTCCCTTCGGTTCTCCTTTCTAAGCCCAATCCGGGTACCCTCAAGAAAAAGACACCCACCTGGAGTCTTTATGACAATTTTTATGACCCTTTGAAGATGGGTCAATGACCCCTTTCTTTTGGGTACTGACCCCATGTTGTAAGGGTCATGGAGACTCCAATTCCCCTGCGAGGAGCCTAAGGCCGAAGCATCTCCTTGCGGCTCGACTCCTCAGCGAAGAAGGGCCCATACTGGGGATGGGCGAAATCCGGAATCCATTTCGCACCACTTAAGGAGCCCTGGATGGATGATTCCCCTGATAAATACAAACCGAGAGGGTAGTTTCGCAAAACCATCCATACATGGCCATGGCAACCCCAAAGCTCATCACCTTTTAGTCATTCCGAGCTGGGGGAAGCTCGGCTACTTTCAGCCCCTTTTTCGACCTCAGGCCGTCGAGCCTTTCTGAGGCAGTTGGGTCCATGTGTGGCGAAGTGCATCGGAACGCCAAGCGTCGGCTTGGACTTGTTTGGGTTGTTTGTCCAGCAGCGCAACGAGAAAATGGGACAACACCAAGAAAGCCACAAGAGTTGGAGAATTGGACTGGCGCTTCTTCCGCTCGGAAGGCAACTGTCAAGTGCAAGTGACCTCTTCTCAGCGTCAACGGAGGGATTTCTGGATTGCCCAAGATAATTGGGCAATGATCAGTATGAAGTCTTATGTAAAGGGTATCCCGCGCACTGTTCCCGGAGATATTACTCCATACCTTTGTGATCCCATCCTAATGGGAATGTCAAATCGGTACGCCTTTTGCAGGTTGCATTGACATGTTTCCCATTGAACAGATGGAAGGCCACCATGATGAATTGCTAGTTGACTTGCATCCTGTGGATGGACGAACTCCTGCACCTAAACCCTGGCATGATGATTCCCGTGTAAACACCAACGAACCATGGTTTCAATTATGCTTTGTTAGGTGGTGCGAACGGATTTCGTCCATCCGCAGTATCGGGTTGGATCTTTGAGCTTCAAATTGTTGGGGGCGGAACTGATGAAAGCAACAATTCCAACTCGTCCAGCAAGTTGAGCCTTCTTTGGGGGCGGGGGCCGGTGTGTGTGGTTGTGTGTGTGTTGAAAGATTTTATTGGGGTACATGCATGGAAGTAGCATTCAGACTTTGAACTCCTTTGGGATCACTTCAGGCACTGAGCCGGCGGAGGAGTGGCGCGTTTCCAGGGCGCAGTCACTTAATTCATGGAGGCGAAGTCGGAATATAAATCAACCCCAGTTTATCAAAAGGATGTGTGTAGTGGGGAATCATCACTTTTGGAGGGGAACACCCCCTACTAATAAACTTTATCAATATGGCTGTGGCTCAAAATTAAACAGGAGGGGCAAACCGCAGGTTTTGGTCCAGGTTTCCGCTTGCCAGGGTTCAATTTTGGAATTCCGTTTTTTTGAGCCACAGCCATGTGTCAGAACTCGGGGCGTTGAGGTTTGAACATTTGTTCCTTCGAGTACCGCCGGGGCATGCATAACACCGAGGTGCCTTGTGGGGCCTTGTACGGAACAGTTTCGTTGCACCACAATGATGTTTGTTTGTTTCATCCTTGTTGGTTCATGTTTGTATTCCTCATGCATTCCTGTTAAAAGGCGCTCACTAGACACATGTGGGGACCAGCTTTGTTTCACCATAGTGGTTGTTCGATTCATCCTTGTTGGTTTATCCTTGTATTCCTCATGCATTCCTGTTAAACGGCGCCCACCAGACACATATGGGGACCAGTTTTGTTTCACCATAATCATGTTTGTTTGTGTCGTCCTTGTTGGTTCATGCTTGTATTTCTCACGTTCCTGTTAAAAGGCTCCCACTCCATTTGACACATGCCATACGGGGGTCGTCCCCACACCCTACCGCCATTTCCTTTGGCATGGGAATGTTTTTGGCTCGTGTGTTTGGCTGGGCCAGATCCAACTGTTCAACTGTTATACACTGCTATTTGTCGGTTGTTTGCATTGGTGGTGGGATTTGAACGCCTGGTTGTCACAGAGGGTAAATGGGAAACCACCCCCGGAAACCTCCACCAGAGCAAACCACCACTTGGAGGGAAGCTGAAACATGGAAGTACGCAGACCCGTTTGGACGACTTGGGAGATGGCGGGAGGGTTCCCAATCAAAAGCGAAGAAACAGAGGGTACTGTTTTTTTCCGGCAGTTTGTGCTCAGTGCGCATAACCGGCTGGAAACATGATGACTCCACAAAAAAAGGGAGAACAAGCTTTTCCACTGACACAGGAGCTTCAAAGTCATGTCTATCACGTTGGTTGTTCCAACCTTGCAGTTTCCTGTTGCATTGTCTTTCCCAGACAATTTTTACAAGGATAGGGCACCCCTTCCACTTTGTGAACCACAGTCTCGCACCCCCTTGCTCCAAGACAAAAGTAGTCAGGGGCAAAAAATGATCAAGTATTGCTCCCAGCATTGTTGCTTTCATCACAGTCATCCTAATCAGCGTCCCCTGCGGCGTCGCCGCATGTCGCCGCATGCCATCGTCGTGGTCGTCGTCGTCGCAAGCTTCATTGTGACACCTGTCCATGTCACAGACAAGCCCCGTCGGCTGCTTGTCCTGCCCGTCGGCTGCTTGTGCAGGACAACCAGCCGACAGCAACTCCTGGCGACTCGCCTGCAAGGGCTGGAAGCCGGTGGTTTCATTTGGCATCGCCATGCCTAGATGCAAGCGGGCAACCAACATGTCGCACTAGTCCTAAGAAGCCTGGCCCAAAAAAAAAACTACTACTGCAAATCAGCCAACCGCCCTGGTTTTCAGCAGATGCTCTCGGAGAATGTCGACAGGGTTCGGTGGCAACTTGTGGAGACGTACCGACCTCCGCCCTGATGGCTGCAGCAGAGGGGCCAAAGTTGCCTCAAAAAGAAGAGCCCGTTTTCGGAGACGGCGCAGGCTCCCGTGTCCATCAGGACATGCACTGTAAAACCACGGTTTATATGATTTCGCTTGCGTCTGAAACAGCTGGCCTATGTGAGCCAAACGCTTTTCGAACCAAGTTGCAAGTTGCTGACCCCCAGCTCACCCAGCCACGCGTTTTCGCCCTCGCGCTTTGGGCCTTCTTTTCCGATCTTTCTCCGGCATGGGCCAAAGCGAACGCCATGGATCGGAAGAAGCAGGTGGCCAACACGCGGATCGGGGTCTACCAATTGGGCGGCAGCATCGGCAAAGGCGGCTTCGGGTGCGTGGCTCCGAGCAAATCTCGGGGCCGGGAGGTCTTGTAGCGCTCTTAGGGGAATGGGAAGAGCTGGTGCAAGTAGGGAATGTGGGAATGAACCGGAAGGGGATTCCCGAATAAGGGAAACCACCAGCGAGGGATGGTTGACAAGGGCCGTTCCAACTCATCCCCCAAGAGAAGGGGCGCCCCTCCAAAGTGGGTTTTACCTCAATTCTTTCCAAAGGGCCAGAGGGCAAACCCGCAGGGGTCCCTACTTGGGTGTCCCAAACAATCGGAAGCCAAAAGGGGATGGGTGTTGTTGAGGTTTTCCAGACCCCCTGATTCAACACCCAGCTATGTCTTCCCCTGCTGGTTTTTGGGCCAACTTAAGTTGCGCTTCCTTTGTGTGGAGGAAGGAGCCTTGAGAGGTTCTGAATCCGGGGAGAGCATGGAGATAGAAGTCGGGGAGGCCTGTTGTTTTGTGGGCACAACTACGATGAGCACGAATGTGTCTTTTCTCATGTTCTCGATCGAGCTGAGGGTAAATCCAGCTCACCATATGCTTTGCTTGGTGGGTGCAGGTGTTGGAATTGCCCTGCTGTCCACCAGATCCTAGGAGGATGTTCCTTTTGGACTTTAGCAGGAATCCCGCGGCACCTCGTTCGCTGTTCTTGCAAAACAAGGCTTGGTGCGTAGAAAGCAGCACTGGAATGGCAAGCAGCCATGGTCAAGGATTGCAACAGCTGACACTCACTCATTCGCATGGCCAGGCTTAGGTCCGGAATTCTCTAATTCGCGAGCGTTGAAGAAACCGCTTCAAGATTCTGCCGGAAGGCCTGCTTGGTGTGCCTGTTCCGCCTTCACTGCGGTAAGAACGTTTTTTTTGGGGGACCAAGAGAGCACGGAAGGCATGTGCCCAAAGTCCAATGTATTTGCCCATTTCAGTCAACCCGACCTGGGCTTGTCAAAGAATCAGGAAATTCACACCCAAACTGCTCTGCTAAAAACAGGAAGCCAGCCACTGAAAAAAAAAAACAAGCTGGACATGCTTAGTCCTTGTTTTGGGTGTTTGGTTGACCAAGTTGCAACAAGTCCTCTTATCGGCGTCCCCTGAATCGGCGGTTTGGATCGGTGGTTTGGGGATTTGATAAAGGGGAAACCACCCCCTAACGACCAAACCATCAATCCAAACAATCAAAGAGAGGTCCCCCAGTAGTGCCCTTTCACCGTTTCTTTTTTGGGGGAGGGTTCCCCTACTAAAATAGATTACAGAAAAAAGTTGGTACCCTTATTCTGCAGGGCCTAGAAATAGAGGGAAGCTGAGATTCTTCTTTCGGTTTCTGCGGAAGGAACGTGCCCGAGGTGTACAAAGCCCTGGACCAGCAGAGCGGTCACTTTGTGGCGGTGAAGCAGGTGAGCCTCGGGGGGCTGCACAGCGGAGACATCGGCTCCATTGAGGTGGAGATCAATCTCCTGTCCAAGCTGAAGCTTTGAACCAGGTTGTTTGGTTGGATCTTGGGTTGGTTCTTTGGTTGTTTCTTTGGTTCTTTCCGTCTATTCTCTTTTGAGCTGCTTTGATGTGGCCATGGCTCAAAACCCAAATCGTACTCCCAGTGAGCATCCGATTCGGTCCAACCACTAAAATAGGAAGCCTAGAATGGGTGGTGAAGTCACCTACCAACCGAAATGGGATCCCAGAACGGTTTTGACCGGCCATATGGCCTGCCAACTCAATATCTCACTTCCTGAGTTCCTGGACTTGAAATATGTTTTTGTTTTAGTTTGTTGTTTCGGAAGACCATGTTGGTGGTATTGAACAGTTTGACCTTTTCCTGGCCAACCCACCCAGGAAGTGAAATATTGCAACTAAGAAGGCCAGGAAGCCGATTCTCTGATTTTCCCTAAGTTGCCGCGGTTTCGTGGTGGAGCATGGTTGGTTTACTAGCAACATTTCGGGCATCCACCGTAGAAAAGCTGGTTTACGTCACTTGTTGCCAGGGTGACGGGCAGTTGTTGCTTTGTTCTAGTGTTCCATCGTTTCTCGCTTCTCGGGTGTTTGTTAATTAAACATTGGTTGCAAGTGAGTTGTTGCCGTAACATTATCAGAGTCAACGCCACTTTGGCCGGCCCTGGAGTAACTTGAGCTTTTCAGATGGCACGCACGGGAAACAGAACAAGGCAATTCGGACTAAAGACTCAGGCAATGGGCCCTGTTAGGGAAGCCAAAGGGAGAGTGCGGGTCGGGCAAGCAGATTTTCGGGGCCTGAGGAAGCACAAGAACATTGTCAAGTACATTGACTCCATCCGAACGGACACCCATTTGAACATCGTTCTGGAGTTTATCGAGGGAGGCTCCATTGCAGCGATCCTGAAGAAGTTTGGGGCTTTCCCTGAGACGCTGTGTGCTATCTACACGTTGCAGTGACTTGGCAAGCGTGGCCATTGGCGTTGATGGATCAGGTGCCTTGTCATCCCTGTTCCTTTGAGGTTCCCTGCCTGGGTTTTGTTCTATTCCAAAGGGTAAAGAGGCAATTTCTAGTTCGGCTCAGTGAAGGGATTCGCGCCTTGCATAATTAGCCAGCTACCGGATATGTGAATCTGGTGGTTTCTTCACTGATTGTCCTTTCGCTGAATCAGCATTCCAGCGTCTAAAACGAATCTCAACCAATTTCGGAGTTGCCATGTCCAGTCATAAAAGAGCAAAACCAACCTCAGCAAGGTCGATAGAATTTAATCATGTCAAGCCGAGATACGAATCTGTTATGTGTTTTTTGGTGCAGGTCTGTCGATTCAGGTTTCCTAGTCTCTACAGGTTGAATCCCCATTTAATTGTTCCCCATCGTAATCAATGAAAACTACCCTTCCATTCTCTGAGTCCATGTTCCGACCAGCCCTAGAGCACCATGATAAGTTGTGACTCAAAGGCTGGTTCTTGACTGCTACTGGGTTGGATCTTTAGACTTGAACTTTTTTTTGCAAATCAAGTGGTTTTCCACTAAACCCCCAAAAAGTGTTCAACTTTTTGCAGGGGGGTCGTTGCAGCAACCAAGGGTTCTCAAAGCCGTACAGGAAAGAAGGATCCAACTGGAAAGAAGAAATTTGGACCTCTGGGGGCCATGCCTACCCCAAGGTCCCTCACCGCTCAGGATCCTGAAAGGCTTAAAGTTCCTGCACTCCCAGGGCGTCATCCACCGCGACATCAAGGCATGCCATGCTTGGCGGTTTCGAGCTGAGCGCGTGAGATGGCTCAAAAATATGTCCTGACCCAACGTGGCACCTGGGTAAATGGAACTCAAGACTAAGAGCTGCGCAACCCTAACTTCTGCCACGCTCATGTTTGTGTGTGTGTGTCTCTTTTATTGTTGCTTGCAAGTTTCGGAGTATGAGATGGGGGCCCGGTCGGCATCCACTTTGGGCTCCATTTTGTACAATTGTCGATGGCCCCTTGGTGAATGGACAATTTGCACCCAGGCGCTTTCATGAGAGTTGCGGTTTCCCTTTAAGAGCCATCCACAAAGCCTTCCCCAATCTTTGGGCGCCCTGTTTTTTGGGGGGGGTCCTCCTTCTTTTCCTTTTAAGGGCCAACGAGTTCAATCAATTGACCTTCACTCGTCTCGGCAAGTCACTTTGAGCCAAGTTTTCCTTGGTTCAGTTCACTTCATGGCGCGCTCCTTTGCACCACACGCCTTGGGTGCAAGACGGATCGCTTCTCGGTTTTGGCCCAGGAACGTAGCCAAGCGTCGGTACCCTCCCAGCACCGCTTGGCACCCGGGCCGCTCCAAAAAAAACATAGCACAAGCAAATGAAATGGCCATGCAGAACCTATGGGTGGATGAACATCCATTTGCCACCTATTTTGATGTTCACAGGTACAGGGTTTTGACCCACAGCCAAATCATCCGCACCATCCCACTTGAGGCGTTTCTTTTCAGGATATCAGGATATCGTTTGCAAGTTCCAGTTTGCAACTTATTGCGCCTCGTTTGCTCCAAAAAACCCGCGGAAAAACAGGATTGGGCATTGGTTTTTTCTGCAACCTTTACTCTAACCCCCACGGAAAAAGATTGGGGGCCGGGCATTGGTTTTTGTTCTTCTCCAAGCGAGTTATCTCCGACGACCGGAGGGCGCCAATGTGCTGACCACGAAGACGGGGACCATCAAGCTCGCGGACTTCGGAGTTGCCACCAAGCTCAGTGAGATCGACACCAAGCTGAGATTTCAGAGCCAACGGCCCAACGCCGCCCTTTTCGGTCTCCCAAGAGAACACCTTGGTGCGAATTTTGGCCATCTTGCCAGCTGGTGGGTTTTGCAGCGAACCACTAAAAGTTAAAGCTTTAGCAGGGGAGCAAAAAGCCGCTGAGAAAAGGCGGCTCAATTTTCTTCCCCATGGTCAGTTTCCTTTTCTTGGAAGGGGTTTCTCGTGCCCTTGCCCTTTGCAGTCTCCCAAGAGACCCCTGAAACAAATCCAGCCTTGCAGACAACTTCCTTTACAGTCAACACACATGGAAATTCCCCCCATGGCCAGTTTCCACAATTTGGGACGGGTTTTTCCTTTAGTCAACTCCAGAGTCAAAAGGATGGCCGGGGTCAGCACAGGCATTCGGTGCCCCGGAGTGGGGTTCAGCTCACTAATCCCATAGTGCCATAGTTGGATCCCATATGCGGCATACCTCTAAAACCACAAAAAGAAAACGAGAGTAGCACAGCACAGTTGCATTTCTATTCCGATGTGTATAAAGCGCACACACGTTTATGTATTCCTGCATAGGTATAAAAGGCATGTACGGCATGGAAAATGTGTGGTATGTATGCTAGCCCCCCACCCACCCACCCCACCCCCCTCCAGGCAGCTCCCCTGAAGCTCCAAGCGCCTGGCGTTCGCGTCTGAGGACAGCTCGAAGCGCCGAGTGGTGGGCACGCCCTACTGGATGGCACCGGAAACCGTGGAGCCACGCGGATCGATGATCGAAGGATCGAACGTCCGCCGGCTCCCTGTGGATGGTTGCTAGCAATCCATCTGCTTTGCGAATTTTGGCCAAGGAATGTTAGGATTTTAGAACTGTTTGCCAACTCATGGGTTTTCCATTCAACTAAAAGTTAAACTCTTAGAAGGGGAGCATGTGTCAAAACAGGGCTCCTTAGAGGAAATTTATCCTGCCTGCCCATTTGAAGCATGTGGCTTTTGCAACACCGAAATAAGGGGACACCACCATTTACAAGGCAATGTTCAGGTGTATAATGCAAGGATCTGCAAAATTAAAGCACCAGGAATTGGACCGCAGGTTGAATCGTCCATGTGTCCATTTGTCAGGGCAACCCATTTTGGGTACCTATTTTTTGACCCACAGCCATTTCGCAACTAAGAGACCCTATGATTCGATTCCCCTGTAACCAACAAGCAATGGTTTCAACCATGGTTTCAAAGTGGTGCCTAAGCGGATTTCGTCCACGCTAAACCAGTGGCTTTGGAGGGAGTCCATGTTCTGGTTCCCCTTGTTGGTCTTAAAGGGAGTCTGTCACAGATTTGGGCCAAAAAAAAATCAAATGGCTATGTTTCCCATGTTTGCCCTTTCAGGTTAAAATAAAGCATCAGCGTTTGGGCCAAGTTAGGGGATTATGGGAGCAACCCCCAAACATCACCCTTGAAGCAGTCTAACCATATTTCCCCTTTGAACACCATCCTTTTGTGGGGTGATTGTTGTTTAAAGGGGCTTTCTGCCAGGATCACTGGGCAACTGAGTAACTGCAGTTTCCCTTGCGATGGGGCGGGGGAGGCGACTGGGCTGGGGGTACGAGGCGACTGGTTTCCAGTTGAAATTTTCCCTGTCGACCTTTCTGTACATCACCGCCTATCGATGAAGATCCCTTTGGATCCCTTGCTTCAGGTGGCTGGATTTATGACCTAGATTCGTTCGATTCGTTCATTCGTGTTTTATCCAAGCAGCATGATTGAAACATGTGCTTTATAATTGTTTTGGTTTTACCCTTGCATAACAAAGATTACAATACGTGCATTCCTTGTTGCGTTTCTTGTTTTTGCGAGACACGGATCCCGGATTCTGTCGAGAAAACGGCGGAGAATCAACAAGGATTGGTGGAATGGCCGGCAGCTGCTCCAAAGTTGGGGTTGAAGCATATTCCATTGAAAAGCCATGAATCAACTCGAGCCAAAGCAGCTGTCCCAGGCTTCAAACCCTGAGCCCAGATTGCGTCCAAAGGCTCGCGCTCTGCACGTCCAAAAGCCTTGAGTCAGCTTCCAGAGCGTGCTTTTTGTGCGGGGAATCAGCCTTCCGTGGTGGGCCCCTACTGCACCACTTGGAAACCATGGGAAACCATTGTTCATTGGCATTTACAGGGGAATCGAATCATTCCAGGGTTTGTTAGGTGCAGGATTTCGTCCGCAGTATGGAGACAAACCCACCTCAGCCCCACGAGTGTCGGCATCCTAGGATGAGCCCACCCACCCCGGCGAGCGACATTTGGTCGGTGGGGTCTACGGTCATCGAGATGGTCACGGAAGCTCGGGCTCGCGTAAATTTGTCCATGCATTTTTTTTAACCAAGCTTGTCACCTTGTTGGCCACTCACTCAAAAGTGTGTGCATGTAAAACCAAACTTGTCACCTTGTTGGCCACTCACTCAACTCAAGGCAAACTAAAAATTGAGTCCGATTTCAGGGTTTTGGCACAATCAGGAGGGGGGGCGAAAAAGGACCCGCGCAGAATGCTTAACCTTCCAAACTTGGGTCCCAAAGATCTGAAAGACTGGCACTGCTTCACTGCTTGCTTGGGCCAATCTGATCAGTTGGTTTTCTCTATGGCTTTGCGCATTGGTACCAGGCAAGCTGAAGGTGCTGGGAACATGATGTTTGGTGGAAGATGTTAAACGCAAGCATCCCCAGCTGCAACTCGAAATGGTTGCAGGCAATGACGTCCCCCTGACCTCATACCCCACAGGGAGCGGGCCTCAAGGCGGCATTGCTTGAGGTTCATACCCCAGAAGAGGGCTGTTTCACTCTTAGAATCTGGAAAATGGGGGCTTGCACAGTGATTCCCGCCCGGTCCGGGCTGGAGTTCTGCCAGTACACACTGTTCGGACGCATGCGTTGCTGCTTGTTTAGACGTGCTATTTCGAAAGGTGTTTGGTCTGTTCGGGGCAGACTGGTGCTGCCGTCGCAACTTGCCCAGACGCATGCTTTTCCGATTGAGTAGGTGTCCTTCCCTTTCACCTAACACTTTCGGGGTGGCTTTGACAACGGTGATTTCTGAGGGTGACCGAAAGCTGGAACCGTTTGCCAGCCGTGCCAACGCTGCTTTTTCACCAGCCTGCTCCAGACAAGTCCTCTTCGTAGGTTTCCCCCCCGCCAGAGCTTGTGAACCGTTGCCAACATCGAAATCGCAGTTTCTGACTTTAACCCTCGAGCCAGCGCAAAAACCCATAATCCCTGAGCGAGGGTGCTATGTGCCTGATCTTCAGGTTACCCAAAGGGGAACCTTAAAAGGCGGCAGGTCATCTTTTCGAACTTCTCCAGGCCCAAACCAAAAAAGGTCACCCAGATCTTACCCCCCGAAAGGTGCACAAAAACTCACCCAGACCTCACCCGCCGAAAGGTGCTGAGGCAACGCCGTAAAAAGCCGGGGCCTCGCAGCGTTTTGTTTCTTCCGAAGGAGAAGCCGCCCTACGCGGAGCTGCCGCAGATGTCGGCGCTCTACCGCATCGTGTCGGACGTCCACCCCCCGCTGCCCGAGGGCTTTTCGGAGGATCTCATGGGAGAGGGAACTCTTGTGGGGGGGTTGGGGGTTGGGGGGGCAGGATCGGAGTTATGTTTACCACCCCCAAAGGGGAAAGTAGAGGGAACCCGGCCCAGGGAACAACGCAACAGAAGACATCAGAATACGTGAGCTTAGTTAGCTCGTAGTTGGTGATTTGGAGGTTTGGATTGGTGAATCCACGGAATCGGTGGCGTCAGGATGATTTCCCTTGAGACAAATCAAAAATTGAGGTGCACTCAAGAAGAATACACAACGCCGAATTGAGCCATGGTCAAAGAGTTGCCATGAGGGAATTCCCTATTTTAGGTTTGTGAATCATAGTAGTTTGCCCGGATTGGGGATTGCCCAATGTATGAGCAAGATGGAGAGTCGTACAACCCCCTCACGCTACGTGCCCCCAGATCGCAGGGTTCCCTTTTTGTCCACTTGTTGAGTGGTTTGAAACACCACCGTTTGGGGCAATCTCAATTGTGTGTGTGTGTAGGTTTTCCTTTGGTAGGGTGATGCTAATGGGAAGTGCAGCATGAATCAGGGGTACCGAATGGGCCACACGTGGTAGCCGATCCTGCATTATGCAGCCATCATGCACTCATGTACTTGCATGTGGCCTGCACCCACTGAACAAACGTTGCCTGCTTCTTTCGAACCAACTTGTGCTGTTGTGGAGTGCAACTGGCAGCCGAAATCCTTAATCACATGCTTGATTGCATGATTGTTCATGGCGAGTTGGGAGTAGTAAAGCCCCCCCCCAAAAAAAAAGAAAAGAGAAGTAAGGGAGTAGGAAAGCCAGAAGCAAGGTGTCTAGATCAAAATATTGAGGTCCAGTTCCATGGCTTTCCCTCAGGACTTGGAGAAGTTCCTGCTGAAGTGCTACGAGAAGAGCCCCATCCAGCGCCCTGGGGCGGCGATGCTGCTGGAAGATCCCTGGATCCAAGGCAACAAGAGGCCGGAGCTCCGGGTGGAGTGGGAGGGGGCGGGATTCCCAGTATCTTGACTGCTATTGGGCAACGGATCTTTAGACTTTAACTTGTTGGTTGAAATCAAGGTGGATTTCCCACTAAACCCCAAAACAGTTGTCCACTTTTTGCAGGGGGTCACAGCAACCAAGGTATGTGCTTAGTTTCTTTTGGGTTCCTCTTCTACTCGCCCAGTGGGCGCACTTTACACCTTTTTCCTTGCTGGCTTTCCCTGTATTTGAGTGCTGGCCCAAAAAAAATGTGCACTTGTGTTTGGCTGGTCACTGGCCAAGTGAGTTGAAATGACCTAATGAAGGGCACCCTTAAAACACGACACATATTTTTCCGCTAAGGAGCCGCTAATTCATTTGTTCTGTGATTCGGGGAGGGCCCCAGGACTTGCTACATGAGGATGCCACAAGCCACTTCCTGGACCTTCCTTCGTTTTTGGGGGGAACAAGCGCTTTTTGGGATCACTGGGCAAAAAATAGCTGGCCCGAGCAGTTGTTTGTTCTTTTCTGACACAAATGTATGTAACAATGGAAGGTCCAGGTTACTAGCTGGGCTTCCGTAGTTGTTTTCTGTCTTTTGGGTCGTACTGTGGATGGTTGCGCAATCCATTTCGCACCACCTGCGAAACCCTGGAATGATTCGAATCCCCTGCAAACACCCACAAGCAATGGTTTCAACCATGGAATCAAAGTGGTGCAGGATTTGGTCCATCCACAGGGAACAAGGCCTTTGTTTTCAAGATCTGTTCGGTGCCATTTTGGCGTCTAAGTTGGGCCCGTGAACTTGGACATAATGCAACCTTTGCTCGGGCTAGCTGCTTCCCAGTTTTAACCTTTTGACGTTTGGCAACCAGCTCGGGGGATGTGGAGCTAGCGACCAAGAGTAGATTGCGTTCCTGCTCAGGAAAGTTCAGGGACCCTCTTAGAGCTTAGCACTTTCAGGGGTTCCTGGTGTTCAACAAAAGGGGCCAACGGCAAATCTATAGCAGCATAGATGTGGGGAGTGACGCCTGAACCAATCAATGCATGTAAAAAGGGGTGTTGAATCCCATTCAAGGTTGGGTTCTTGTGGACGCTGAGGAAAGCCTAGGTCGATCCCGTAAAACAAGCAATAGCGCCTTCCAATTGTTTGCCGCCCAAGTTGACAAAACGGGTCCGCCATGCTTTCTTCCAGCGTGCATCCATGGATGCTCATACCCTGAATTGGCGGTTTGGATTGATGTTTTGGGTAGAGACCAAACGGGCAGCTGCCCAACCTCACCTCCCAACCACCGGGGAAGCCGAGATGAAGGCCGCGGGGAAGCGCCCAGACCAACCGAACCGAACCCCCCCCCCCACACCTGTCGGCGGACAGGGGGGGGGGGGTGGGCGCCGAATAGAGATCGGTGACCATTTCTTGGGCCTGCCAAGCAAAAGGGGGTCCGGGAACCATGGCTCCCGAGTTACCCAAGGCGAATCGACCTTTTGACCTTTTTTCCCCAGTATTCTGCGGTTCCAAAAGGTGATCACCTTTGGTTTCGGGGCGGCGACGGGGAAACCGCAAGGGCCTGGTGAAGGGAAGCCCGATTTCGAGCCATGTGGGTGTGGCTGTTTTTTGAATGGTACCCCTTTGGTGGTGGTCAATGGGGTGAATGGGATGCCAAACGGAAAACCACCATTTGGCAACTTCTCAAAAGTGAGACGAGCTTGGTGGACATGAATCCCCATGTGAGCCACAATCAAAACCCGGGTAGATGAAGGTTAGTAAGGGGCAGTCCCAGCAAAAAATAGTTGCGGCATGGTTCTGGGTGGACCATTTTACTACCGGGTTTTGATTATGACTCATGTCCACTGGCTCATCAATTAAAGTTCAAGCCCACGTTTAGGATGCGCTCATGTGCAGGCGGGAGCAGGGGGAGCGGGTGGATACAGTGCGTTTGACACCCAATTCCCCTTTCCCCCATTTTCTTTGGCGGGTTCACCTCAATCCCAAACAAGGTTCCTCCTTCCCGAGGGTCTCTGGGCAACTCCAAGTGATCTAACCCGACCAACAAGAGAAATGGTTCCGAGTCTCGGTGTTTCTACCTGGCTGTGCTCCTTTTTCGAGGGTCCCTGGGCAACTCCAAGTGAGTTAACCCTGGGCAACTCCAATCCCTCCCATGTTTGCCTCAAAAGAGAAATTCTTCCAAGTCTCGGGTGTTTGTGGTACCTGGCCGGGCCCGGACAAAGGCACCTGGAGTGACTAAGCCCGACCCAAGCGGAGAAATGCGTCCGAGCCTCGGGCTTGTTTCGACCCGGCTGCCGCGAGTCGCGAGGCACCTGGAGTTCAAGATGCTGCCGAAGATCGAGCCCGGCCGGGAGGACGAGAGCGACAGCGGGGAGGAGCTGGAGGCGCTGACGACGCTCGTGCAGGAGACTGGGCAGCCGGGGAAAGGGGGGGAAAAAGGGGTTCAGGTGACGCCATTGCCATTGGTCGGGAAAACAGGTATGTTCATGCTTCACTGTTGTTGACATGTGTTTTTGGTGGTTGTTTCTGTTTTGTTCTGTTCATTTCAATTTCTGTTCATTTTTAGTAGGGGGCTGCAAAAAAACAATGTTTTGTTGCTACCATACCAATCCTTGGAAAGCGAAAGTGGCTTGATTGAAAATTTTGGAAAGCTCACAATTAGTAGTAGTTGTTTTGGGTTCTGCAATATTCTGCTTCGGTTTCGGTCTGCATCCGATTCGCCGGTCGCAAGAGCCATGGAGAGAGCACGGCCTCGGAGGCTTGCAAGTTGGCCCTAGACATGGTGGTGGTTGGGAAACATGTATAAACAGTTTTCCATTTTTTTGCGCTGATGGTGGTTTAGTGGTTGAACTCCAGCCACTTTTTCTGTTAGCTAAAGTCTATTTTGTTTTGCTCCCCAACGTCAACCAAGTAGAGTTGACGTATGGATTCACCGGAGAACGAAGGTGCCTGGTGGTCTCGGAACAGGACCCATGCCGTGATTTCAAGCCCACGAGAGGGTTTTTTTTTGGCATCCGACTTCGGGGCCGGGGGTCTGTGGGTCCAATTTTCCCTCCGAAATGAGGGATTGGGACTCATCAGGAGGGAATTTACAGAGAGTATTCGGCGAGTCCGAGCAATCGCCGGAACCTTCAGACTGTATGCCAGCACTCATCCACAGAACGCGTCCCTGTTATTTTTCGTGTGGAAATACCAGGATGTCCTGTAGGTTGCCCCGTATCTATGTCCAGTCTCAAGAGCACATGTTGGGTTGAGGCCAAGTTTGCTTGGCTTTGGGAAACCAGGGAGGGGTACTTGCAAGAAGCGCGGCATGTCCAGCCAGGAGAGTCTGGCAACTCAGCTCCGTCCCAAGGACTGCCTTCGAGCTGCAAGCGACAACCGATTCGGAGTAAAAGCGAGCCCTTACGATGAGTCTCGTTGACTATTGTTGGTGAAATGCCTGTTGTTGACATATTTTAAGTTGTTTGTTTTGTTGCGAAGAATTGAACAAGTCTGAGCAGACACGCTATATGAGTGCGGGTTGTTTGGGGGACCCCCCCAACATGGTGGTGTTCCTTTCAGTTTCCCCTTAAAAGCACAAAAGGGGTACCCAAGCTACCGTCAAAAAAGGCACACAATATATATATATATATATATATATACATATATATATATATATGTGTGTGTGTGTGTGTATATAGAAATAGACATATGTACACACATTGTGCTTACGACTTTTCACGTGTTGATTCTTCAGGAGGCGGCACAGGACGCGGAGCCTAAAGAGGAGAAGACCGAGACGCTGAATCCGAAACCGAGCCTTGGTCTGACAGAGCCGGCCAATGGCCTGCGCACTGGAAGTGCGCGCGCCTAAAATGCCGCGGGTTTGTTTTGCGAACATCTACTCAGTTGTTCAAAGCCGACCTTTTGACCTTTTGGTTTCCCCTTTTGGTCTATTTTTAGTAGAGGTCCCAAAAGGTTAATCTTTTATGTTCGGGTCCTTTGGGCAACTGAGTCTACGAAGTTGAGCTACTGACTGTTCAAGTGCCAGGCGACAGGGCTGGGAAAGTCAGGAGATTGCTCTCTCGTGGCTTTGAGGAGAAATGTTGAGGAGCGCGCAGGGATCCAGCAACTGAAACCGACCGAGGCAGTTGTATATGTGGGTGGAAGAATCGCCCATGAGCTGGATATGAGCTGGACTGCATTAGCCCGAGTAGCCCATATCATCAAGCAACCGTGCTGTCATGGTGCCTCAAACCTCTCACTACGCGCCGGAAACACCCTCCCAGCTTTGCGCTTGCTCACTTGGTCAAGCCTTTGTCACAGCTCCGCCATCTTTGGATGGCTTCAAGGCGCTTCAGCTAGCAAGTCATCCCACACGCTCAAAGTGAGCTGGGTGCCATCCCCGTGCTACCTGCCAGGTCACGCAGGTCTCACTTGCCCAAAGCGAATCGACATGAACCCACCTTGTAGTTTCCCCTTGTTGGCACCCATGTTCAGTCGCGGCCCCAAAAGGTCAACCTGCTACTTCTGGATTTCAGGGTTCTTTAGGAAAGGTTCCCTGAGGGCTTTTGCTCAAAGGATTCGTCAAAGGCTAAAAACCCCGCCGAAAGCGCGTGCGTAAGGGATGCGTGCCAATTGAGCCTGCCCTTTCCAACGTATGGTGTTATTGAGGAGTCATGATGTTGCTGCTTTTTGCATTCAGTTTTGAAGGTTGTGTGTGGACGAAGTCTGTGGAGGCAAAGAAAGCCAAAGCATCTCAGAGACACATCCACAAGTTCCTGGTTCGGTTGTTCCAAATAGTGTTTCCCTGTGTGTGTGTGTGTGTGTGTGTTTGTGTTTAAACCTGTCAAAACGGGTTCCTTTTAGCGGCCCACGGTTGGTTTCGCGGGCTCGCCAAGGAGCCTGGTTCGCGTAGAGGACGAGGCGATCGGTGCGATGGGAACCAGTTGGAATGAACGGCGGTCTTCAAGGAAACCAGTTGGATGGTGTATAGGCGTCATTTCAATTCCCTGAGAACCAGCAAGGGTGGCCCTGGCATATCGTCTAAAAAAACGTCCCACGGTGCCTGACAGAGGATTTTTCCAGGAAGTTGAGCTTCCAGGTGCCCTTGCACAGGTTCTTGCGGAGGAGGGTTTACGATATGTTGGATTTTGAAATGACCCCTATAAACCATCCAACTGGTTTCCTTTTTTCCTTTAAGGGGATCAAAGCCTTACAATGTATACTCTTCACTAAAGACCGCTTGCCCAAGGCGACTCGACCTTTTAAGCTTTCGGTTTGCCGACTCGCAGGGACTGGTCCCATGGCCCCACCCTGCCTCCGTTTCGGGGAGGCCTCCGTTAGCGCTACATGCCCCTGCCCAGATCCATGAAAGAAACAAAAAAGGGGATTAACAAACCCCTGGTTGATTAATAGGGGGGTGTCCCCTTTTAGTGGGGCTTCATCACTTTTAGAGGGAACACCCCCCCTAATAGTGGAACAGGTTTATTAATCCTGGGTCGACATTAACTAGACATCATGTGAGCCACGTGCTCTTTCAAAACCCCGGGCAAAGCGAAGCTTAGGGACGATCCCAGCCATAGCTGCGACCATTTTTGTACCGGGGTTTGATTGTGACTCATGTTGACCCCTTATGAATGTCAACCAACCTCTTTATATGAAAATAGGGGGGGTAGGTCATGGCCCCTCCAAAATTGGTTTGATTCCCCACTAAGCCCAGGGATACCCTCCTATTAATAAAGCAGTGGGGTCGATTAATATGGTCAACATCACAAACATTTGAGCCATTTGGAGGGTAAATGTGGGGTAGAAAATTGCCTACATGGGCGTGCCGCGGACTGCTGTCACGTAATTCCCCCTGGCAACCCTGGCTTCAAATGAATATACAACACATTATTGCTCTCTCAGAACTTCATTATAAGACTCACTGAATATTTCATCAAACTTGCTTTGAGTAAAAAGACCGGTTCCAAACGGAGATAGAGCTGCCACACCTTTCTCCTGGAGATTGGTTGTTCGGTGTTTGTCTTTTCTGTTGTTCAGCTTTCTGTTGCTCAGTTGTTTTTGTGCTGTCGTGGACGCAGGGAAGTTGCCAAATTGTCTTTTCATTGTGACTGAGTTGTTTTTTGGGTTTGGGTGCGTGTATATATCTAGATAATATGTGTGTACATCAACATGCATACGTCTAAATGTATGGCACATGTGTACATTTACGGCCAAAACATCCCGCTTGCCCGCGACGTCTGCGACCGCCCCCGCCCCGACCCTTAACAAACGTGGCAGGCGTGGGAGCTTGTAGACCTTTGTGTGGTGAACTCCCTCAAAAACTTGGGGGTCGAAACCTGGATTTGGAGCACCCTGTCTTGGGTTTAAACCCTAAACCCTAAACCCTAAAACCCCTAAACCTAAGCCCTAAAAACCCTAAACACCCTAAACCCTAAACCCTAAAAACCCTAAAACCTAAACCCTAAAAACCCTAAAACCTAAACCCTAAAAACCCTAAACCTAAACCCTAACAACCCTAAACCTAAACCCTAAAAACCCTAAACCTAAACCCTAAAAACCCTAAACCTAAACCCTAACAACCCTAAACCTAAACCTAAAGGCAGCGGCAGACATCCCCATAAGGATGCTTGTGGGCGAGCCGCCTGTTTTTGTGGGTACATTTACATGTTTATATGTAGAGTTGTTCATGCGCTGTAGCTGGCTTTCATGGCTTTGTGCCACAAAGCGGGTCGGATCACCATAAATTGGTTTGACCCCTCTTGGGGTGCATGACGCTCGCCCTGGGTTCAGCTCAGTGGCGTTAGCGTTGATGTAGTGCCCACGCTGTTTGTTTGCGAAAAGTGCATCTCTGACTTTGAAGCCCTAGCTTCTGCCGGCAAGGAAGCAGTAGATCTCCCTTTCATACCCTGTATTTTCCATCAAGGCATTTTTTATTGGGGTATGAGAAGTGTCCATTGGGCCCATTTGAGACATGTCCTAGATGATTTGCTGGCGTGCCGCTTCCCCCAATGAATATCAACTCCCATAGCTCTTCATCCTGTGATCTGCATGCGTCAGGTGCCCAAGCGATCGCCAGAAGGCCGGAGCGCTCCGCATGAGCATGAGCATAGCTTGCTCAAAGTAGGGCTCCCCAAAGTGGTTGGTGTCCTTTTGCCGTGGTCTCCTCTTGGAGTGTTGGTTTCCCTTCAGGTAAACCAAACGCTGGTCTGCAATTTCTGGGACACACATGTTTGAGCACCAGCCGATACTTCGGCATCCATTCTGAGATTCCCTTGGGTGCAATGGCTCCCCTGGCTTTGAAACCAAAAGCTTCCCCTAGCGAAGTTTTGGGCCAGTGCATCATCACTCACAGAGCCGTTTTAGCCCCGTTGACGACTTTACAGTTGGATCTACAGTGGACCCTGCACTTGACTTTGGAACATGCTTGTGTCCAGCCGTAAAAGTGGGATGTTGCGCAAAAGAACGGCCCCGTGTTCAGGCCACCCAAAACATGTTCGAAGCCAAAATGCAAGGTGTCAGGTGGAGCCAAACTAAAAGGAGCAACTTGGACAACCTTCCCTTTGCTGAAATGAATATGTGGTGTTGTTTTTCTTCTGTTTTTTTTCGTTTCTGTGTTAAAGGGAATCGATGTCACTACTGGGCATGCGTTCTAAGCAAGTGGAAGAAACCCACCCGCAAAAATATATACGGCTCTTTGGCATCCAAAATATCTCTGAAAACTCCCTCTTGGCTTTCCCCCTGTTTTAAAGGGAATCTGTCAGTGGAAATCTTGCTTGTTTGGGTCCACTTGTTCGCCAATGGAAGCTTTTCAGCTTTTGTTTTTCCTGATTTCCTCCATGGATCCAGCAAAAAAACCGCCTCCAAAAGCTGAAAACGGATCCGAAAAACGTCCACTCCAAGAAACGGTTTCCTTCTCGCCCCAAGAAAACACAATAATAATAAAAGGAGAAGAAAAAAAGGAAACCAAAAAAGCCAATAATAATAATAATAATGATAGAGGAGAAGAAGAAGAAAATATGGAATCAGAAACCAAAAAACAGAAAAGCGCGCCTCGGAAGGCTCGGCCTTGGGCTCCCCGGAGCCCGAGGAGGGGCAGCGAGAGGAGGAAAAGCTGACAGGAGGCGGGGAGGGTGGGGGCAAAGTTCCTTCCGCATTTCCCGCGGCGGCGGCTTGATTTCATGTTTGTTTTAGAGTATTTTCACTGTCCTTGCGCGTTTCTGCGTGTGTGAGTGATTGTTTTTTGTTTTTTTTAAATGTGGGGGGAGGGGGTGCCGGAAAAAGAAGCAAATCGCAAAGTTTGTTGCTGCCATATCAAGGCTGGGAAGGCAAGGATATGATTTTCATGCTCTCCCTCTTGGTTTTAAAGAGAATCTATCCCTGGAAATATGTTCTCATTTTTGCCACTGGACTTGAGCAAATGCAGGTGTATGGACAAAGGCCGCTTCGCGCCAGTTGGTATGTTTGCTTCAACTGGTGCCGGGTTTTGTTCATCCACAATCCACAGTAGCGCCGGGTCAACCATGACCCATTTTGGGAAAGGATGCCCATTGTTTGGTTCCATGATTTCGTTGCAGGGGCGTAAGGGTTGCCTCGCGCTGTGCCCAAAACACCTCCCGTTTAATTACAAAATGCGACGATTCATGGTGGTGAAGACCTTCCACTGACCAGGAAACTCCTGCAGCCCTGACCTTGTGACCCCAAATGAGGGGTAGGATGTTTTGGTTTGGGGTGGCCCCATGATACGTTCGACAGAAAGTCCCATGTAACCCAGGAGCAAAAAGACCCCAAGCACATCGAAGACTTTAGTTTCATAGAGCATGGCATAGGGGATGACCCCTGGCTACCTGGCTGTGAGACGGTACGTGCATGAGTAATTCGCGAGAGCCCAAGGCCCAAGGCTCACCCCAAGCCGCAAATAAGACGGAAGATGAACCATGGTGGCGTGTTTGTGGAATGCGGAGATGAACAGTGGCTTGGCCACAGGTGTTGCAAGGCAACTCCCTGTCTCCTTGGTTGCTGTCCCTGTTTTCTGTGTTTTTCTCTCGCTGAACCCCTGCATGTTTGGTTTGAGGCCTCCTTTTCTGTTTCCTCCTAAGTTGGTTCCCCGCTGTTTGCTCTACCGCAATTGAGTTGGATCTTTAAACTTTAGCTTTTTGGATTTCCTTCATATTTCCTTTTAACCTGCAAAAAGTGAAAAGCTGTTTGCTGGGGGATCTACAGCACCCAAGTTTGTCGTGGGGATAGGCTACCACTTCGCCTTCTTGGACTACTACTACCGGCGCTTGAGCCCAAAGGAGAGCTCAGATTGGACAAGAGTTGGGATGGGTGGTCTAGCCCGGTATAGCCCAGTGATTCCATTTACCCTTTTTTGTAGGAAACCAAGGGAACCACCCTGAACCAAAAGGAAAAAGGGTTGGTTTCCTCGGGTTTCAGCCGGTGTGTTCATATTGGCGGTTTTCTGGGTTGCAATTAAATAGCCCAACATGTTTTTGAATTACCCGAACCAAAGGGGTGGTGTTTCTCCAGCGTCTCTAAACGTGGTCCAGAATCAAAAAATGGCTATGCTGGGCGGGCAAAGCCTAAGGTTGGTGAGTTTGCTTGGAACCAGATCACACTTTCAGTTTGGTTACCGGGACCCATCGATCCAAACGGGGCCCATGGATTTGAGGTTTTGACCGCCTTTCGGTGAGCAGGATCCACGCGATCAAACTCAAGGGACACGATGGAAAATGCGAATTGGCCATCTTCACAAGGTCTCCTTGCTTTGACTCCATTTTATATAGGTGCTCGAAGACTCTAAAAGAGCCAAACACCGCAGGTGTTGCCCACTTTTCCATTTGCCAGGGTTCCAGTGTGGACACCGGTTTGAGCCACACCCTAGTGGCAAACAAAGAGTTTTGGACTTTGTTTGACACACTTAAGAAGTGAGCTTGGTGGATTCCTCGATTGATTCCTCAAATAGAAGAGTTAGACATAAGCATTTTGCTTCCATGGAAATGCCATCGGATGCACAGTGAAAATTCTCAGGAGGTTGCCGATGGTTCAGAAGCCTTGTCACGGCCCTTCAAACAGGAACTGTTCAAAGGATTCTTCACGCGAAACACGCCATTTGTCAGGACAAACACGCACTTCCCTTCAAAGGGATTCACCTCACTTGCACAAAGCGAATCGTCCTTTTAACTTTTGAAGTTTTTTTTGGTCCATCAAGGTCCCTTTTTACCAGGTCCTTTGGGTGGAGACTTGCCTCTGTGAATGCCGCTTTGTGCTCTCACCGCTGAACCTCGCTTGACCTTCAAAGTGGAGTCTTCGTCCCTTCAAATCAAACATGGGTACCCTTAACCAAGACACCCACGGGAATGATGCCCTTTAAATTCAAGAACCCAAGGTGTCCTCCGTTTCCCTTTCAAGGGCTCCAAACGTGGCGATCGTTTATATGGAAATCCACCTGCCAATGGCAACTTGTTTTGTTCATCGGGAACTGTGACCCTCAAGCGGAACGGCCGAATCGGGCGAGCGAGCGCGCGAGCTATCCAGGAGGCGCCCGAGACGAGCGCAGAAGTTCCAAGCCCTGAGGCCGAGGCTTGAGCTCAAAAAAAGCGGGAAGGGTCCTAAGTCCCTTACATGGTTGTTGTTCGGAAACATGTTACATGTTTGCTTGTTGTGGTTTAGTGGTTGAAGTCCAAATCCACTGAACTGCTAAAGTTGATTTTTTTTGCTCCCCTTCCAACGTCAACCAAGCTTAAAGGACAACCCATGTTGGGACGTGCTTCGACCTGAAGCGCTGGTTGTTCATATGGCTCGATGTTCCGGCGCATGTGATGTGTTTTGCTCAACGGGTTTGCCTCGAAGTCGGAAGAACAAAACGCAAGATTGATCTTGCCATGTGTGCATTACTCTGCTTGATTTGTCCTTAGACCTTTGATGTGTTCCAAAATTGACGAAAAGCGAGGTTCCATTCAACACCGGACCCGAAAAGGGCTGGGGAGGGGGGGAGATCAGGCCGTTTTTAGTTGGAGAGGGCATGTTGAAAGTGGAACAACAGAAAGGGCCTTTCCCATAGCCAATGGGATCTTTTGGCAACCGGAAAGAGTACCGGGGCGTTTGGGACGGTTGCTTTCAACCATGGGTTTGCTTCGGAATCAGGGGTTCTTGGAAGGGCGGCCAAGCCCCACCTGTCCAAATGTGCTTGACCTTCTGGATTCATATGTGCAGCGGGGAAAGGTTAACCTGTCACCAGTTGCATGAGGCAAGCAAGCTTACACTGCGTTCAGAGTGTGGCTTCTTTATGCTAAGGATGTTCCAAGGCTCGTCGCGAGTGGAGGTTCATTGTTCAAAGATGTCGCACGCTTGTTTGCATTTTGGTTCGACAGATGCATGCCAGCGGCCAGTGGACTGATGGAGGTGGCTCGAGTTTGGTTTGGCATTGAAACGCTTGGCCCCTTTTTTTTTCTACAAGCGCGTAGGTTTTGTTTGCTGATTCCAGCAAGGAATGAGAAATGGAATGACCCCCATAGACCATCCTATGGCTTCCTGGATAATTTGCAGGTTCATGTCCACGACAAGGTCAGTCCCCACTTACCCAGAATTAGCTCCCTTTTTTTTTGCTTTTCTGGGGTCCCATTGTTTTCCACCAACCAGGCAAAAAAAGGGTCTAATTTTATTTCCTGGGGCCCGATTTTTCCAGCCGGAGAGACTTCCAACCGCAGGAGCTGAAGCTCACGCAGCTCGGCACTGGGCAGAGGTGGGAGGATTCGAGCGCCCGGCACCTCCAAAACGGGGCACCGGGTTGGTTTGTGTTTTTTCAGAAATGTGGTGGACATATATGAAGCAGCATCGGATCTGTGATGTTCTGTGTACCCCCTTTTTGTGTGGCCCAACTCAAGTGTGCCAGAACATCCGGCGCCCTATTACAAGTGAGCCAACGAGGCTCAACCGGAAAATCTATGGAAAGCTGAGCCCTGTGCATCGGTCGGGGCATTCAGACCCACCCAATGAACCTTGCGACGGCAGCTCTCTCCAAGGATCGCAAGGCCCAGTCTGGCCAAAGCTGTGCTGGACGACAGCACGCCCCACGGCCGAGCAGTGAGACGTGTGCTTGGGCATGTCAGACGGTTCCAGTTCCGGCCTTTCAAAGTGGCAGTCTCCTCAAGTTTGCTGCTTTGGGACCTCCAAACATGGCTGTTTCATTGGAACTCACAGGCAAATTGCAGACTCTGACAGGAATCCTGTGACCTGAGTGTTTCATACCTCATGACTCATGCCTGGTCGGTGATTTTGGCTTCGGGCCATTTGGGTTTGGCTCGCGAAGGAGAAACCAATCAACCGAGTGGCTTGGGCATGGCTGACCGTCAAGCCTCAAGCGCGCGCGGCGGAAGCTTACTGGGTGAAATCCTTTTTGCTGCGCCGGTTCTTGCCCAACCAGATGAGTCATCAAAACCCGGTATTGAAATGGTCCAGGTTTTGATTGTGACTCAGATAGGGAAATCTGGCAGCTCTCCAACAGCTGTACCAACTGAGTTGTAGACGGGCGCAACAGCAGCCGAGTTGGCGAACAAACAAACAATCAAACAAACACATGGGAAGAGTTGCATGAAGTTGAGAAACCCTGGAATGCTGCCCCTCTAAATACCAACGAACAACGGCTTTCCATGGCTTCAAAGTGGTGCAGGATGTTCGTCCATGTACGGTTGGTCTTCCTTAGCCAGCACAAGCCAGCTTCGAAGGCTTGGCCCATGGCCGAAAAGCGGGCCTTGAGCATTTTGGGGTTTGGCGGGGGCGTGAAAAGTGAGCCATGTGTTGGGTGATCTTAGATTTATGCCCTTGCTACAATGATGCTGGTAGAACATATTAGGGACCCCGGAGGATGGTTTACGTAGTTCAATGCTATTGCAGAGCCATAGCAAGGGGAGGCTTTTGGATGGTTGTGGCCAATGGTCCTCAATATGCCCCCCCATGTGTCACCAATACTCATTCTTTTGGGCTGCAACCGCATTTGTTTGCCAACCGAATTAGTCGACGAGTGCCCCCCCCCATTTGTCACTACTCATTCTTAGGCCACAGCTTTTTTGGCTATGGCTCCGGTTCGTTTTTGGGTCCCTTCACTGAGGCTGGACAGGGAGGCCCACAAGGACCGGGAGAAGCAGAGGGTGGCGGCCGAGGCAAAAGCCGCTGGGAGGGCTTGCCAACTTTTAGCCTTTTGGGGGAAGGGTGCCCCTGCCAAAATGGACTACAGGAAAAAAGGGAATACCAGTATTCTAACCTCTCTACTGGAGGACCTAGACTATATATATATATATGTAGTTAGTGGTGTGGAGGTCGTGGTTTAACGTAGAGCAATGACAAGTTTGAGCCACAGCCCAAAGCATTTCTTGGAAGCATGCTTCATTTGCCCGTCCAAGGCCCTTTTTTCGGAGCTTGCAAGAAACAGGGGCCTCTTTTCGACGGGTTTGAAAGGGGCACGAAACGAACATGTTCTCGATTGTTGCTCCCTACCTTTGGGGCGCCCTATGGAGCTGGTCGTCCAATTGTGCATTTCTCGTACCTTTTTACGCGGAGTTTGGAGTGGCGAGCTCGGCTGTTTGCGCCAAGCGCGTATTGGCTGATTGCCTGAGTGTTGCATTCTTGCTTGTGCCTTCCTCCTGCTTCCACCTCAGAAAACGCCCCAAAAGCAAGCCAGGCGTTTAGAGCCAACCCAAGCACCCAAGCAACCCTCTCCAATCATGTTTTCCATGCTCAGGCAGCATCATTGTTGCGTGGCTTGCCGACCGTTAACCAACTGCTCTTTGGGCAGCATCCCTATATGCATGATTCCTTCTGGCTCTACACACTGAGTGTTAGAACCGCTCGATCCAGCCAAATGAGATCCTTTCCAGCGGCTTTTCCCCGCGTTTTGTTTCTCGCCGGAGGTGAAGAGTCTGCTGGCACGGATCCGGCCCTTCGAAGAGCCCGCGGTGCTGGTGAACGTGTGCTCCCGGCTCACAGAGCTGCTGCAACAAGGCGACGTCTGGGGAAGCGCTGGCTTCGGGTGCGGCGGCTTTTTGTTGTTGGTTTGTGATGTTTTTTTCCTTCGCATCGGTTGAAGGGCGGGGGAGGGGGGAGGGGGGGACTGGAAGTATGGTAAGGTGAAGTTGTTGGAAGAGACCTTGATTTGGGTTTTTTTTTGTTTTTTTTTTTTTGTGGGGATGAAAGGCTTTTCCCAAGAGGTGGTTTGGTTTAGGGACCGTTCCTTTCTTGTTATTGCTTTTCGGGCGGAGTGGGTATCCGAATTTGCTTCAACAGAGGGACCCTTTCGGAGCTCCCCCCCCCTCCCTCCCACCCATTGCTCGAATCTCTCCAAGACTATTTTACACCACCCATTACCCCAAAAGGATATGTAACCTTTGAGACTGGTTAAAAACGCGAAGCGTTGATCAGAAATGGCGGAGTGATCCCTCGCCCAACTAGACTTCCAATTGCTCTTGCTTTTCCTTCACAGCAAATCCCTTCGCAGCATTTCAGTTCGTTGCCTATGGGCCATCGCTTTTGCTTGGTTCCCTTTCCAGAAGGGTTCGGTCGGGCCAACCCCTTTCAGCCCCTTGTGGTTTGTTTTTTCCCTAAGCCAACCGGACCAACCTAGTATAGACCAAGCTTTAACATAATTAGTTTTATAGCCAAAAAATATTACCTGCTTTAAATGTTAGTTCAAATTCATGTTCAATCTGTTCAAACCCCCCGCCTTTTGGTTTTTCTCCTTAAAGGCACCCGGGGGGTGCCCGCTATGGGATGGTCCATAGCTTTCGAGACAGGCCGCAGCAACCGGGAGAACAAGGAGAGCATCCAGCAGCTGGCGACTTGGCAGCTCACGGAAGGTCTCTTTTTTCTTTTTTTCCGACCCCGGACACGAGGTGCGCATAGGAAAATGGTTGCGTTATTTTCGCAGAAAATAGATGGCCCTGGTTGAGCTCTACCAGAACAAAAACTAAACCTTTTTTTCCCGAAAAGGACGCCCATGATTGGGCCCATTGATCATGGTTGTTATTTTTGTGTTTTCTTCTTTGGGTTGGCGAGGGTTTTCCTTCTAAAGCAGACTGCCAACAACAGAACACCCTTTTTCCCATGACCACTCGGGGTCTTGGTTGCTTAAAGGGAAACCAAAGGCGACCATGATCCATTTTGGGAGGACACATGTTCAGCGGATCAAGAAGCCATTGTTTGTTGGTATTAACAGGGGAATCAACATTCCAGGGTTTCCTACTTGCTCGGCAATAAGCTGCTTGCGGGTCATTTCAGCCACAGGTGATGCAGCATGGGGCAGTGCCCATCGTGGAGATGCTGCAGGTCACTGATGCCAAGCTCCAGAACTCCGTGCTCAAGGCGAAAATCGGCCGCTACTGTAATTAGCCATTCTCATGTGTGTTTGTTTGGCGTTGGATGCGGCTGACATAAATGTTGCACCTCAACATATCCCCCCCAGACGAGCTTCCACCCCCTCACCAAACCGGGGATGATTGGACTCTCTAAGCAGTCTCTAGGCCTTCTGCTCACTCACCTGCCAAGAGCGAGAGCTTTGGATCGTTTGTCCCGCATGTCGATCAGTCCAAAGAGGTTCTCCTAAGAAAGGCGGGTCATTGCGGGTCAAGTGACACGGGTCCACGCGCTTTGCGGGCTCAGGCTTTTCGTACTGCCTGGCAATCTTCCCAAATCAGAAGTTAACGGGGAGGCACTTTGCGATGTGACCAAAGTGCCCATTTGGAAACCGAGGCAATCCTTTCCCCGATTCGGTGTGGATGGCTTCGATGGAAAGGAAGTCCAAATATGCCCAAGGAAATCAAGGAGTGGGACATGCTGATTTGACAAGTACCAAGGATGGGTTACTGGGAAATCCCCAACGCCTTGAAAGCCTGAGAACCCTATTTGTTTGGTTTACATGTTGAAATGGGGTTGAAGCAGGGGCCATAAATTGGGCGTTTGTCTTCCCATCCCGGTTGCTTTCCCCTTACTTTGGTCTCTTGGTTCCGACTTCTGCCAGCTTGCTGGGGGTCCGGGGTCCTCTTGAACTGCTTTTGCATAGGCCAAAGGACGAGAATCTGCGAGTTCAAAGTCTAGGTTCCCAGCAGCTTCCAAGCTCCCATTGGGTAAGCAACTGCGGCCAAGACGTTTGGTAGTGCAGCTGCTTTCTGCAATTGGCCCCCTGGGCAATTTCCGAACCGCCGAGCGGCCGAAAGGTGGTGAACCAGATTGTGGCCGACGGGAACCAGGACTTTCAGGCGCAGAGAAGTTGCAACTTTTGACCCCTGCGAACTTGTTGTTTTTCTCGCAGTCATTCCATTTCTCATGCCCCACTGAGCACCAGCAAGTTAAGGATCTCGAGGATTTGGATTTGTGTTCTTGAGAGGCTCAAAGCTTCGGGTTGGTTCAAAATGTTCAAGCCGAAAGGAAGACCGAAATCCATAGCGAAGGTCCCCCCCTTTTTGGACACTTGCACTTTGGAAGAAACTATTTCGCAACCCCCCTGTTTGGATGGATTCTACACTTTGTTCGGGCGCTTCTGTTTTTTTCCCCTGCAGCCAAAGACAAACGCCGTGTGCGTGCGTGTTCAAACTAGGGGTCCGTGTTGGGACGCTTGAAGGTGACTTGTTCGAAATCAATCGTTAAATTGCTAATGCGATCAAACATGCTTAATCAATACATGCACCCTTTTGATTCATATTCGTTCCAGACCCTGTCCCAATACTAATTTAGAACTAAGCGAGACTAAGCCAATATTAAACGCACAGACTTCCCGCCGACCCGTGCTCCAGTACTGGGGGACGGCTCCCCCAAGCAGTTTGAATATTGCTTGAAAGTCCATGGTTTACATTCTCATTTTGTATATGAACTGATAAATCCAACAAAGTGCCTGCGTGTTTTTCAGAGCTTAATCTTCGAGGGCTTGGGTGCCAGTGAAGTGGAAGCTTACATGTTTGATGCAGCCAGGCTTAAGTAACTTCTACACCAGCGTCGGTCTAAGGCGCATTGCACGTCAACGCCTATTTTCGAAACGAGTCAGGCAGCCTCACAAAAAGAAAAGGCGAGCCACAAGGCTTCCTGACTGCCTAGGAGCTGTTCAGCATGGTGGGCCTGATCCCTGGTGTCATCAAGTTCGCCCGCACAGAGTACCACCGATCATTGCGCGTGGAGGCAACTGGAACAAAGGTGCTTGGGTGTGATCGGTTCTTCACAATTTGCTGATATGAATATGTTTTTGATTTCCTTTGTTGGTCTTAAGGGGAGTCTATCACTGTTGGATTTGTTCTTGTTTTTCCCAGGGGGGGCTTAAGCAAATGCAGGTTTCACGTGCAATATTTGGGGCTTCTGAACCTGCCCCCTTTGCGGGTTTATCGGCAAAGGATTTCTTTGGGGCGGAGTTACTCAGTTGTCCAAGCACTTGGGGCGTGCCCGGCCTTCCTACCCTTCCAAATAATTTCCTCATGGATGCCCCTCCCTACCTTCCTAACCCGCCCCCCCCGCCCCCCCATAATCTTTGCAAACCTGCGATTTCACGCAGCTCGCCTCGTTTTGCAACGAGCGGGGGGGGGGCGGGGTTCAACCAAAATGGGACCCCGGATCAGAAAACCCATCATTTTAGAGGGGTGGCACTGTCACCCACAAAAGCGACATCCGGATTCCTACTAATGTGAGCACTGCCCTTGACTTCACCAATCAACCTGGGGTTCAAATAGTCCGGGTTTTCTCATCCACAAAGAGAAGGACAAATGGGATCCTTTGGTGCATTTTGCTTGGATGTTCGGACTGTAACGTTTTGCCAACTAATGGGTTTTCCATTAAACCACTAAAAGTTCTTCACTTTTAGCAGAGTTTGCAACCGAGGTTCATTCAATTTTCTCCTTTTTTACTTATCACTTATCACACCAGCAAGGTTCGTCTTCCAGTAGCCACCTGCGACCTTTAGGTGGGGAAGTTCATCAGCCGGGTCAGCAGCTCCGCGAGCGGCTTGCTGGTGGCCTGTGGAGGGCTGGAGGCCATCGTGGACCTCATCTCCAGCGCCTCGTTTGCCGGTTGGAATGGGCGCGGGGACTTGGGCTTTGGACACGTGGAAGTGTCCGGACCCGCAACTCTTGGAAATTCCAACGGTTTTCAGGATTCGACCTTTTGACCTACCAGATAAAGATGGAGAAGTCCCCCATCCGCTGGGAGAGGAATCAAAAGTTGTTGGGAACTGTCATATTGGGTTCCACCCCCTTCCCCTCACTTCCGAATGCAAATTTTGCATAGGCTGGTTGGGAGGGAAAGCCGAAAGGAAAGCGGTTCGCCCGCTTTTTTCAACCCCCACATTTGGAAATGCGGAGAGATCCACTTCGTTCGGGGGCCCCAATTTCCCCCATGCCAAAGAAACAGACGGGCTTCTTTGGATCGATTTCTGGGAGGAGGTCTTAGTGAATGTCAGGTCTTGTTGGTCTACAACACCCAAACCAAATACGCTCAAGACATGACACGCCCAGATTGCTTCTTAAAGTTGAGGGGTTCGAAGTGCAAGTTCCTGCTCAAACACCCTGGTTCACATCACAGAAAACATGTGTTTTCCGGGGGGGGGGGGGGGAAATCGCGCAACCCAAAAAAAAACACGGGCGTTCGCGCAACCATTTGGTTCTAGGCTCCTTTCCGGGGGCACCCTGATTTGGTTTTGGGGGTGGGGCAGTTGTTCCAACTCCAGGAGGTCGCCAAAAAAGATGCTGACACTCGGTTGTTTGGCTCGGTTTTCTTTTTTTGGCTGGCCAATCCACTCACGAACGTGAGCCGTGCAGCTCATGTTCCCAAGTTGAGGTGAGTACTACCACAATCGGGACCTTGTGTGGGCTGCCCTGGAGGCGTGAGCTGCTAAAACCTGAGAGGGCTTCAGGAAGAAAAGGGCTCTTCATTGGACATAGGGCAATAAACCGCCCCCACTCCTGGTGGGTTTAAAGGAAAACCAAACGGAACGCCACTTTTTGGCAGAAACCCCTGCCGTTGGTTGATTTCGAACTAAACAGGGCGATGTGTCAATTTTTGGTGAAAACTTTGGACAGCCGCCGGTGGCCTTGCCTCTTCTTCGCTTCCGAAAGGGGGGGGGGGAAGGTCTTGGGCTTTGGGTCGACTCTGCAACCTAGGAGGCTCGGCCACTGGGCCCTGATTCTCTCACGGGTTGCCTGCGCCAAAGGCCCTTTGTCTTTGCAGATATGGGTGTCGTGTGTCTTTTCTTGTTCTGTTTTTTTTTTTTTTTGGGGGGGGGGGCCATCCACAAAACCAAAAAGTGGGGGTACCCTCAAGAAAGTGGGGGGAACCGTCCAAGAATTCCTTTTGGTTTTCCGCTGAACCCACTAAAAGTGGGGGTGCCCGCAAGAACAGGCACACCCATATCATGATGGTTCCACGAGCTATAGCACGGCCACCAATATGTCAGAGATGCCAACAAACAGTTTGGGAATGGGCGAAAGTTTGTCTGTTTTTTGAGAGCAGCGCGGAAGACTTGAGGATCACTATCCATCCCTCTCGCGCTGTACCCGCTTCTTTGTTCGCTTAAATATCATTTAAGACAAACTAGGGCTCCGTGATCCCTTACTCAAGGTTGAAGTAGGTTGCTTTGTGCAAACGTCTCGGAAACATTTCTGAAACCATGGCCACATATTCAAACCTGCCGCAGGATGTGAACACCGTGCTGAACATGCAGGGCAGCCACCAGCGCGACCTTTGCCGGATCCTCGCCAAGCTCGGGATCTGCGAGCATTTGGCGGCTTGTAACGTATACGTGACGGGAAAACGGAAGCCTTAGGAACTGGTTGGAAGTCTTACCGTGGTTCAACCAGCGAATCCGGTTCCTTACAGGGGTTGTGGTTTTTAGTTGGCCTAGCTGGGGTTTCCGTATTTAACCCGAGAAGAGTTAAGCTTTGAGCGAGGGATCTGACAGCCCAGTGGATGAACGAAATGAAACCGTGGTTGAAACCATAACGTTGGTTGCCATTGGTCGGTATGTACAGAAAAATCATCGAGGAGGGCTCTCCTCGGCGGTCCAAACCATGTCGTCCAGTAAGCCAAAGGGACTGTTTGGCACTCACAGACACCCAAAGGCACGGTTTTCAGCGAAAACCACCTGCCAACCGGAGGTTTACCCGCTTCCAAGGGCAGCGGAAGTGACGGAAGCGTATGGTCGCGTCTTTTTAAAGGTTGGACCCCCAAAGGATGATTTCCTTTGGTTCCCCTTTAACAGCACCAACACGGGGGTGCCCTCAAGAAAAAGACACCCCCCCCCCAGATTTGCACTGCGTGTGTGTGTGTGTGTGCGTGTGTGCTTGTAAAAGACCACACAGCCACAGATCTAGTGGTTTCCCGGGTTCATGTGTCAGTTTCCTTCTCAAAGTGCTTCCAAAAAGAAAAGCAGTCCAGCTGGCTGCGTCTTCTCAATGGTAGCCATCACTTGAAGTTTTTGTTGATGTCTTGTTCTTTCATTTCTCAAGTCAAGATGGATTGGGATGATTCCGAGATTTGGAGGTCCGCGGGAGTCTCCGATTACAGGCGAAAGGTCGGAAACAGAACAAAACCTGTTGTTTCCTCTTTGTTTGACGCTTGCTTATTTCAGATAAGGACAGCCGCCTAAAAATAGACGTGGTCACTTGCCCAAAGGCAACCTTTTATCCTGTGGTTCACACCTCGTGTCTTCAGGTCCTTTGGTCGACTCGCGTGGTTCCCTCGTTTTTGCAGCCAGCTTATGTTCAAATTATTGACTGCTATTGGGTTGGATCTGTAGACTTTAACTTTTTAGGAAATGAAGGTGTTTTCCACTAAACCCCAAAAAAGTGTTCCACTTTTTGCAGGGGGGTCAACAACAACCAAGATTTCTTGGGGGCACCCCCACGCCAACCGGTTTGTTTTTGCTCGGTGTTTTTTCTCCGGGCTCCATTTAGCACATGCCTTTTGGGCATACTCCCACCCAAAGAAATCGTGAGAGGGTTGCGAGAAGCGCCAAAGGTATGTTGGAGCTCGGTTCCCTGACACATTCAATTGCACTTCACCATTTGCAGGTGTTTGATTTTGCTTTAAAATAAAAATTGGAAAAAAAAGCAAAAACAAAGAAAATGGTTATTTGTCATTAGACAACGAAAAGACAAAGTTCGTGTTACGCTCGCAGCCCGGACGCAAAGATTGAATCTGGGGCTCCCCGACCTCCAGGTGCCAGGTGCTGTTTTTGTCCATTGTTTTGGGAGGGGGTCCCTCTAAAGTCAACCAACAAACAAGGAGTGTTTGTAGTTGTTTCCGATGTTTCCTTCATGTTCAAGAGCTTTTTACCTCCATCTTCTTTAATTCGCTCTCAGGCGCTTTATGGAAAACGACCGGTGGAGTGTAGGTGGTGCTCATCGACACCTTGGCCTCTGACATCATGGAGCGCGCGGCGCAGCACTTGCAGCTGGTGGTGTCGCTGCTGGCCTTCTTCGCGAAGACGGGGGATGCCGTGGTCAAGGCCTACATGGCCAAGGCCCGCGGCGTTCACACGGCGTGTGATTTGAGGGGGTCCCTTTCAAAGCCCTCAGGTGGATGCCAAGTGAAGTTCAGGGAAAAACCACCAGGTGTTTGTGGGTTTCATGTTTCTTTTATTCTTATTTACTTAAAAATATATATATATATATATATTTTGGGGGGTCATGTTTTTTCGTTGGGGGGGGGGGCTTGATTTGACCCACATGGGTGCGGCAAATCGATCAGATAGGCGGGATGGGGGACACCCAAAAGTCCTTGCGTTTCCTCTAAAACTACCCCAAAGAGGTACCCTTGTGAACCACACAACCGTTTAGCCCTGGTCTAGCGTATGCAGTTTTGGGAGGGAAACCCACTGTTAGTGGGAATCCACTCATTTAGAGAGTACCTTTGTTGGCGGTGCTCCGGAATAAGTTGAAGTTGAAATGGTGATCATTCTCGCCCTGACAAGGAATCTTCTCCGAAACTGTTTTATTGGGGAGACTAAATATGCAACAGAATCAGAACATGTTCTGTGCACACCAGATGTCGGCCAAGTGCCAAGCAGTTTCGGGCTTGCCTCCCACCAGAAGAAAACAAGTAAGAGTAGCGGTGTGGATGCTACGGGGGATGCTTTTCTCATCCAGAACTCGGGGTTCAAACCCAAAAGCACCAACAACTAGAGGTAATCGTTCGATTTCTCAGGCTTGCAGTGGAAATCTGGCCAACTTGAAGGCTTTTCCCCGATGTGGCCCGTGTTAGGTACCATTGATGTGTTTATAATGTAGATGCTGGGACTCCCTGGCCCCACGGACCTTATGTGCAATACTGCTGCAATACAGATCCCAGGGGCACCCGTTCCCTTCTGATGGCCTTGGGGAAGGCCCCGTTTCGAAGGCCACGGTCCTGGAGGGGCTCATCGCGTCTTTGGAGTTTTTGTCCTCAGAGCAGTCGGTGCAGATCTGCAAAATCTTCAAGCACCTGGCCCAGGCGCGCTCGAGAACTCCATTCGAGAACGCCATGGCAAGCTCACGGGGCAAATTTGAGCTTCCCAGATTGATGTTGTACATGTCCCCAAGAATCAAAATAAGACCGGGTGATCTCAACAGCCCCGGGAGGCTCCGAACCGAATCTCCAGAAGCTTCCCCGAAAGCCCCAGCCCAGAGCATATTTGGGCCTATCGACCCCAAGGCTCTTAGCTGGGGAATAGGCGAATTCTTGCCCGAGATATCTCCCGTAGCCTTTGAAGCGAAAGCTTGCCTCCGGTCAGTTCCCGCACCCCTGACTCGCTTGCTCGAGCATGGGGCAGCGCCCTGACCAAGGGGTGCGACTCCCAACTTAGAAGATGTAAACAACTCAGTATATCGGCAACCCTTTGCAGAGGCTTGGCGTTGGTTTGACATCACGGAACGGTACGCATGCCCAAACTGCCTACACCAGAAAGTAGATGGCACCATCCGCTTGTTGCTAAATAGGGAAGAAGCCAGAATCGGGTGGTGCTTTCACCCAGCAAGGGCGAGATGACGGGAGACCACATTTTAGACAAACGCACACGCTACTGTACACGCTCCCTAGTCGAGCCAGTTTTTTAAGGGCCTGGCAACGAAAGCCACCCTTGACATGACAGGAACCTTCGGTGCTGAACATGATGGAGAGCCTCGGAGGGCAAGCGCCAGAGAAATTCGTCGCAAATCGATGTGTCTCCTCAGATGATTTTGCTTCAGGCAATTTACTAGCTGGAATCGATTCCCCGTGGTTGGCCGTAAAGGAAAATGACGATGAATTCAGGAAGTGAAAAAAGAAAGGACTCGTAGGTTGTTTTTGGAGGAACCCACGGCAAACGGAAGCCAATGGGCGCAGGTCGCAGATGTTCTGCAAGTAGCACGCTCGGCCCCTGTATATGAAGCACGGTCGGAATTTACGGAAAAGGAAAGTAGTCTACACTTGGACATCCATAGAGCTAAAGGTGCTTGAAACCATGGAAAATGAGAGGGGACTCTCAAAAAAACAAAACCTTTGTGCTACAGACCAACCGCCGGAAAACGAAAGGGGACTCTCTAAATTCATTCATACTTGCTGTGAACAAAGAAATTTGACGGAACTTCATATGTGTGTGTGTGGCAAATGGGATTTCACCAAGAACTGCACTCAGAGCCTCTGCTTCCCAACAACAATTCCACCAAAGGTGCTTGAAACCTAACCAAGCTTTGGTGGGATTGGTCTTATCGTAGTGATTTGGTTCTTCTCACGCGATTTGGCCGCTTCTAGTCATTAGGGGTATTTTGTACATTCATCCACTACAAGCATCTCAGCGGAGCTCATCACTGTGTGCCAAGTGGGGGGCTTAGCTGTAAGAAAGGTGTACCCTCTGACGCCTGTAGGAAAGTAAACGGATCTCCCAAAGTCCCAAAGTGTTGCAAATCCTGATCGAGGTTGGTCCAGCAAGCATGTTTCCAAATCACGTTGTCAGCAGGGGAAAGGATTCAACAGCGTGAGGAACGCGGGAGTGGTCCCAGTGTTGGTGCACCACATGGCAGTGCCTGCGGTCGACCGCCAAGACGACCAAGATGCCTGCAGCCAGTGCCTCTTGGTTGCTTCTGACCTCGGAAAGGATCTCGTTACCGAATGAGGTCCAGCTATGGGGTCTTCAACTCTCTTGGCTAAAAAGTGTACATGTAACCATTTTTTCCGGTGGTGGGTGCCCTGCTAGTGGCGTCTCGGTTACGTTTTCGGTGATGGTCCGGGTGCTGTGTGGGGTGTCCCGATTGTGTTTTTTTTCTTTTTTTTTCTCTTTGGTGGTTTCACAGCCTGGGTGGTGTCCCGGTGTGCCCGGTGGTGTTTTGGTTGGTGGTGTGTTGGTTCTGTCACGGGCCAGCCAACGTAATTCAGATGAAAGGCTAGGTATAACTACTGGACATGTGCACCAATCCAGTTTGAAGCACCCATCAAACCTGTTCTAGGCATTTGGGCGCTTGTACCAGGGACATGTTTGCATCCCTGTAGGTTTCCTCCTGGAGGTATGCAAAGCCATTTCTGGAAATAAGATTGCAGTCTCAATCGGCATATCCGTTACCTTGTTGCGTTGCATTCCGAATCAAATTGCATTTTGCACAACCAAATGCAACAGCACTTCTTTACAATGCTGATGTCGTACAATTCGGTTACAAGATAAGTGAAGACGTCTCTAGGCTTTTGTACTATAGGGCTGCTCACCCTGCCCTCTTGCTCCTCCAGCACTGTTGCCATTTCGACTGTTTCAGCCCGACCCCTTACTTCCATTTGCTTAAGAATATGCTGTTATTTTTCCTTGTTGGTTTTAAAGGCAATCTATTACCACTGGGAAAATGCTTATTTGTTCCAGGAAGCTTAAGCAAATGGAAGCTTAGGAAGACTATTATACGGTGTTCTTAGGCTACCCTCTTGGCTTTTCGCTAAAGGGGAGCCAAGAGGAACCAAGCTCTTTTTGGATCTGTTGTTTCAGCAAACGCTGTTGCCTTAAACTGTCGAACCTTGCGGAGCGTGACGTGTTTTTTTTTTTTGTCGGGTCAGTTTCACCAAAGGCCTACTGGCCCTCTCCAACCTTTGCAAGCTCTCCCGGCCCCGGCAGGACGGCAAGAAGCCAAACTGGCTTGGGCAAGTTAGGATGAGCAAACCTGCGGTTCGAAGGGGGATAGCCCAATTTGCCCACATGGTTTTGCTGAAGATAAAGACCTTTCCCCCAAGAGAGCCAGAAAGATCCACCGAGGTGTGGATTGTCTTCGGGGAAATGTGGTCGTTTTTGCTGCGCATCCAGTGAGCTGTGGCCCTGAGAGGAGCAGGCAGCACTGGCGGGCATCATCCCCAAGTTGCAGGCCATCGTGGAGAGGCAGCACCCCTTGCGAGAGCCTCCTAGCGGAGAAGTGGAGCTGGCACTTTTTAGAGGGAATCTATCACTACTGGAAATATGTATTATTATTTTTCCAAGGGGCTTAAGCAAATGGAAGAAAGGGGAAACCACACGAGAGATCGCATTTCCTTGGGGGAGGTTTCCGTTTTTTTTTTGCGAAATGGACGCTTCCTTTTCTTCACAGGGAGGTGAACATGACCTGGCTGCAAGTGCTTGCATTTCGACACTTCGATCAATGTGCGGTGCTGTTGCCTGGTTCAAAGGGAAACATAAATTGGGGCCCCATGTTCACACATACCCATGTTTCTTGTTTCTCTTCAGAGGCTTACAGAATCCTGCGCCAGTTGGCATGATATATAGATCTGCATGTATCTCACTGGCCCAACGCGACCTGTTAACCTGGTTGCCTCAGCACCAAAAGGTTCAGTCCTTTGGGCAACTGAGATACTGTGGATGGTTGCGAAATCCATTTCGCGCCACCTCAGAAACCCTGGAATGATTCGATCCCCTTGTAAATACCAACAATCCCTGCCATGGAATCAAAGTGGTGCGAGAAGCGGATTTCGCAACCGTCCACAGCATGGACCTATTTGACGCCCCGAGGCATGCCTTCGTGACGCTTTGCGACATGCCGCTGTCCTCCCTGGCGACCAGGAAGTTGCGGCTCGGAGAGTGGAACTTGGATTTTGTTGGGGGTCATCCTACCGGCACTCCCTCCCGTCCAACATGGGGATCCCTTTGCCCCTTTTCATCAGGAGTCCAAAGTTCCCATTGCCCCCACGAAGGGGCGCTTGCCATCTTCACTGGGTTTCCTTTTGCTGGGTGATGTTTGAAGAGGTTTCAGCCGAGGAACTCAGCGTGGGGGAGGGGGGAACGTGCGTCCTGCAAGACTTACGGCAGCCTTTCTTCCATTCGCAAGCCCTCACATTGGGGCCTTATTTGGCGGAGCCGGAGGCGTTGGCCCCACCCTCCCAACACTGCAAGCTGGCAGCATGGATTCGGAAGACCACCTCCCCTTTGGGAACCCCTATCCGAAATAAGACCAATCCAAACCACCCAACTAGAGGGAAGCTGACGGTATTTTCCTGTTTTTTTTGCCCGACCTAAGCCCCCTGAAGCCATGAACAATTCAGAGCTTTGGTTCTTCCAAACCGCCGGCACATCGCTTAGAGGGAAGCTGGACGTAGTTGCCTTTGTTTCCCCAACATAAGCCCACTGAAGCCCTCAAACTCACCACCCATGAAGCCCTCGAACACCCCCCCTTTGGCGCCGAGGCTCTGGTCCCAGCAGGGGGCCCCGTTTCTGGTGCGGAGCCTGGCGCTGGCGGAGACGCAGGTGCCGGCCCTCGAGGCGCTGGTGGGGTGGTTCGGCGTCAAGGAGCTCTGGGGGTGGTGTGGGTGGGAGGGGAAAAATATATAAAATTGCAATTCAAGGAGCAATGCCAAATAATGAAACTGAAAAAAAAAAAACAGAAACACACATCAGAGCAACAACTCACAACTCAACCTGGGTGGGTGGGGGTGGGGGGGTTGGTGGCGGGGTTGGTGGTGGGGTTGGTTGAGGTTTCAGTCAAACCAGCAGCTTGGGGTTTAAAAAAGGTGCACACTGTGTGATCTTTGTCGCTGCTCGGTTGGAGCATTGGACTTCAACTTCCTGAAGGAAACGCAGGAGTGTCCATTGAACCCGCAAACAGTTTATCTTTTCGCAGACTCGCCTGGTTGAAACCAGTGGTCTCCACGCGGGCGTCAATCACGGCTTGTTAGCGATCATTTGAGGTCCCCTGATGCCATGGTGTCTCTCCAAATGAATGCCAGGCACAGAAACTAACCCATATTGAGCGAGCTTAACCCTTCATGCCTTGTATTCGTGTATACCTTGTTATTGTCAAGACTTAAGCATGTATATCTGATATTTTATTGCTTGCCACGCGTGTTATTTTCCATGTGCATTTTACCTGGCATTTGTTATTGGTGTCTTCTTTAGAATCCGTTTTGCGCTCGGATGCCGCTGTCTATTGCAAGCGTGTGGCTCCGCTGTGCGTCAGGCGGCGTGTCGTTCGGGAAAGGCCAATAGCAAACCAACAAAAGGATTGCATTCGACCAATTGTCTGAGATTGGGTCCCTGACGGCCCGTGTTACAGGGGGGAAACCCCAGGAGGGCTATGATACCACCCTGTGGAGTGGTCTGGGGTTCCCCAGCAAGTGCAGGACTCCCTTCCCACAATGCGACACCTCTCAACTGGCTCCATGACGACTTTGCAGCATGGTGCATGTGTCTATGTTCAAGTGTTTTTTGTGTGTGTTGCGCCTTACCCAGTAAAAGTAAACCGTTGTTGAGTAGCAGGGGGAGGTGTTGCTTGACAGGATCACTCACTTTGAGGGAAGACACCACTCCGCCAAAGGGCCACAAGGGGCCAAGCCGAAAGGAGCATAAGGCCAACTGGTGCCAGCGCTTGGAGAGCCTATTGCTGAAGGGCCCAGACTTCCTGATGCGGCTCTTCTCCTTGTTCAAGTGCCAGGACTGAAAGCGAAAGCGCGAATCCTTCAGGTGCTCTATTTAGCCCATATGGCTGCGGGTCAAAACCAATGGTACCATTTTGGTTGGTAGGTGAATTCACCGCCCACTTTAGAACCTATTTTAGTGGAGATTGGGACGTTCACTGGGGGTACGGGGTTTTGACCCATGGCCATATGTTTGACTTTTCCCGTTTCAGTTGGGAACCACGAAAATGGGCTGGGGCTCCCTTTGGTTTTTCCTTAGACCAAAATGGCTACCCTCGAAAAAAGGCACACCCGAATTTTGTCAGTCTTCAAGTGGAAGGGTGACGATCAAGAATGTGAAATGCCCAGTCGTTTGATCCGCACTTCTTTTGAAATTCTGACTCCTCATTGGAAGGGCGGTTGTTCAACACATTTCTCCTGACCGGTCAGGCAATCATTCAAAATGCAAATGGGAGTGGCTGAAGATTGCCAACACGGGTTTTTTGCAAGAATACATCGTGCGTGCTTTTTTCGCAACCAGAGCTTGGATATGGGGATGCTGCGCCTTTCAGGTCGGCGCGGGTGAGTTGTTTGAAGGGAAATTGCATGATTGTTGTTGGGAAACATGTTACATTTTTGCTTATTGTGGTTTAGTGGTTGAAATCCAACCACTGAGCTGCTAAGATTTAAATTGTTGCTCCCCTTCCAAGGTCAAACAAGATTCGGTTGAAAAGGACAACTCCATCTTCCTGAAGGTCTTGGACCCTTTGCTGAAGCTGGTCCACTTCTCCGCGGAGACCAACGCGGCCTTGGCCAACAGCGACGAGTTTGTGGGGGAGCTCCTACGGCGACTGGAGAGCGAAGGGAGCATGGAGGATAGACACTGGGACCAAGGCATTTGCGCGCATTTTTTTAGAGCACCCTTTGGGGGGGCAGGAAGGGTTAAAGGGACCCAGTTGCCCAGTGGCGCCGTTGTTTCATTTTGCTTTGGCAAAGGCCCTCCTTTCAACTCAACCAAACGAAAAGGATACGTCCAATGGCCACTGGGCATCTCAGGGGAAACCCAAGACTGAAGTCCGCTTTTTTTTGGCACGCCCGGCAGCTTCTTTAAACATCTCATATCGACCACGTTTCATTCACTGTTGTTGCTTGCGAGTTTTCGGCGATTTGGTTGGTTGCTACTGTTCATGATCGTCGGACACCCACGGGAAGTGCATACATTGCTCCTGTCACCAGCACGTGCCGAAGGACCCAAGAACGCAAAGCAGCCATGATGGTTGTGGTTGTTGGTTTTTGTGGTTGGCTGGCTGCAGAGAGACGAAAAAAGAACTTGAACAGGCTTACAAGTGTTCATTTCAAGTAGAGTTTGATCATGGTTTGGAGGGGCTATGCAGCTCAGCAAGTGGCCGATGGTGAACTGCAGGGGAACGATGTTTCAAAGACATGGTGTTGCGTTTTGCAGGTCTTTGACTACGCGTGAAGAGCTCGAGGGTGAAAGTGATGGAAGCTCATGCGAGGGTCGCTTTAAAACCAAGTGGGTTTCCTGCGTACGGAATCCTCAGGGTGCATGACAGGATGTGCTGGGCCAAAACTCGCAACTCCAAAGAGGCTGTGAGTTAAAAGTCACACTCTGGGCTGTTCATGGACAAAATCTTGCACCGGTTGAGATGGATAAAGCCCTCAGGCTGCCAGGATACACCACGCAACTGGCGCGAGAGTGTGTCCATCCACAAAATCTGGGTGAGAAGCAGGTTAGCCTCGCAGAAAAACTTGGCAGTGAGTGTGTCCCTTTAAGAGAAAGGGTCGAGAAAAATTCCCTTAGGAGTGAGGAGTGTTTGGGTCTGATCGCGAGGCAAGGTGCACTCCCTGAACCTTCGAAACTCGAACTCGGGAGAGCTGGAGGAAGTAGCGCCTGAGCTGAAGATCGACAGGTGCTCCCCCCGCTTTTGTCGGCCTTGTAGAAACCATGAGGCAGGAACTCTCGTTTCATGTCGTTGTATTGTTGGATCTTTTAATGCTCATCTGGACCTGAATGTGAAAGAATGATGTTTTGCAACGGCCCACAGGATCCTTTTTGTTCTGTCGGCTTTTGGCCAACCCTCCACAAAGGTGTAGAATTCTGGGTATGGGTCTGCCAATTTCATGGCGAGCAGGGTGCAACCAACTCAAACCCATGACGCAGCCCCTCGATCCACGTCTTCTTTCAGGTCTTGCAAGTGCAAAATGTGCAGAGGGTTTCTCAAATTGGTGGATCCCTTGGTATTTCAACAGAACCAAAGGGAGACCTATAATTCCATGGGCACTTCACCAAACCCTTCCATTTGCTATAGAGAATATGTCGTTTTATTCAATCCCCACTTGGTTTGAAAGCGAATATATCACTGGATGTCTCTACTGCTATTGGGTTGGATCTTGAGACTTTATAACTTTTTGTATTCCCCTCATATTTGATTTTTTAACCAGCCAACAGTTCATTTTTTTGCTGGGGGATCTACAGCACCCAAGAAAGATGCATTTTATTGTTTCGAATCAACACGTATGGACCTTCCCAGTGGTTCGACACCAAGTCTTCTTTCCCTTTTGTTTGCTGGTCTTTTGTGTTTTTTTTTTTGTTGTTTGTTTGTTTGTTTGCTTTTTTCCGGGACCTTCAGCCCCCCGTTGCCTCGATCTCGACTGGGAGCAGGCCCTGGACAGCGGCCCGGTGCGGCGCCTGGTCTCCGCCCAGGCGGCGGAGAAGGACGACGACTCCTCGGTGCGGGCGAGGCAGGCGCTGCCGCTGGGCCGTGGAAGGCGGCGGAGACCGGGGGGTGAGGTGGAGGGAGGCGGAGGGAGGCAAGTCACTTACCTCTTAAAAACACAACTTTTCAACTTTTTGGGGGTAACATGGGCTATATGTCTGCAAAAGATTAACTTGTTCAGGGCTTGGAGTTTTAAGGGGTAAGGTCATAATCCAAACCCGGCACCAAAAATGGTCGTAATCCCAGAACCATGCAAAGAATCAAGAAGGCTGGCGCGGCTATTTATGGCTGGGCTGCCCTTCAATCACCCGGGTTTTCATTGTGGCTCAGGTGGGCCCTTTTCTGCTTCATTCGGGTTTTGTGAAGCCGGGTGAAGCTATGAAATGTGGATATGGTTGCATTTTGTGCAAAGGAAAGTGGTCCAAAGCAGCCCGGACGTCAGGTTCCATGTTAACTGGTGGGAGGGTAACTACCCTCCATGGAAGCTGAAGATGGGAGGGTTTTGGAAGACAACTTGTGTGGGGCCCGGGAGGGAGGGCGTATGAAAAAACGCGAAAAACCAAGAGAAAGTATGGTTAGTAAACGGGGGTCCTGGTTTGTTGACCCTAAATATTGCCCTAGTGACAGCGGAGGCTGATTTTAAAACAGTGCAGACAGCAAGGCATGTTTAGAATTGCACTCCCAACCAACTCGGGGAGTGGCACGACAACTTTCCTCAGGGCGCCTTGTGGGTCAGATCTTAACCATGCTTGGTGGAAGCTGAGTAGCCCAAGTTGTCCCAGAGCGCTTTCTTCCTTGAGGGATCTTGAAAATCCACGAAAAACCGGATGAACCATTCCAAGGGGCAGCCAGAGAGGCTGCGTATTCTTGACTTGTCCAGACACCCATTCTTGTTTGACAGATATGTTACACCTCATCACCTCACCCTTCAGAAAGGGGTTGGGTTTTTGCTTCGGGTAACAGTTAAAGGCAAAGGCAAACCATCCGTGGCCCCCACTCAGACGGAAGAGTTCTTTGTACGGGTCGGTGCCTGGGATACCACGAGAATCCCCCTATGAATCGCACGTCGCATGAAGGAGCATCTAAGGCCCCTGCAACGCACGCGTGACGCTTTGCTGTTGATGCCATCATGTCTCCGATGAAACTGGGTGTCTCTTTGGTAGTAGAATCAACCATGAAAAGGGGTGGTCCTTTGCCAGTTTGTATTTGCTAGTTGGTTGGACGTTGCTTGCCAACATTGTGTCAATAGCTTGCAGGTGAGAATCCCTTGCACAGTTCTCTAAAATATGCCCCTGATGTATCAGGAGGGTGTGATTGTTGGTGAGCGTAGCCCTTTTTGCGGTTTTGAAAGGTGAGACCCGAAGCAGAACCACGATTTTGAGTGATTCCCTGAAAAACGACACGCCCAAATGGCTGTGGGTCAAAACCAATGGTACCAGTTTGGGGTAGGTGAACTCACCACCCACTTTAGAACCTATTTTAGTGGGGATTGGGATGTTCACTGGGAGTACGGGATTTTGACCCATGGGCAAATGCCTTGAAATTCATTCCCCATTCTTTTCAGCCATCGTTCTTTTCAAAAACCAGCCATGTCCCCAGGGTCTTTGGTTTTCTAGAAAGATTCGGATCCCTGGAACATGGAAGTTACCCTGGACAAATGGGTATGGCTCAAGATTAAATAGGAGGGGCAAACCGCAGGTTTTGGTCTATGTTTCCACTTCCCAGGGTTGATTTTGGTACCGGCTTTCTACAGCCAAATGCCTTGAAGGAAAGGATCAAGCTCCTTTGGGGAAGAATGTGGAAGTAAAAAAACCCGCCATTTCAAGAACCGGCCATTTCCCCCCGGGTTTTGGCGGTTTTCGAAGTTACCCCTGGGCAAATGTTTTGGGATCAAATTCCTTTTGGGGATCCAAGGCTGCGACTGCTGATGCAACTCTGCCAGCCCCTCACCCAGGCGAATGGCCGAGTCCAGCTTCGGTGTCGACCGTGACGAGTGTGAGGGTTTGTGGGGTCTCCTCCGAAACCTGGGAAGTTGTGTTGTTGAATGATGCTTTCTTGTTTGATCTGTTTGGGCTAGCTGGAACAGAATATGAAAAGGTGTTGTTTTCTGCGTGCCCAAGATGTGGACCGAGTTTGGGGAGTTGAATCCTGCAAATAGAACCTGAGTTCATCCCCAACAAGGAACTTCCCCCCTCTCTTTCTACCAGGTTCGATCCTTTAACTGTTGGTTTGGTCACTTAAGCTCTGACTGGGTCACTTAAAATCCATTAAGATACCACCTTGACATCTGACTCCCTTTCGGGGGCGTACATCTTCTTTTATGGGATCCGAATCCTTTCAGGAAGCTGTCAAACCCCCCCAAGAAAAATAGCAATCGGTTTTGACAAGAAGGATTGTTGAAAAGAATGGACAAGGAATCATTAATTCCTCTGCAAACACCAAAAAGCCATGGTTTCAAACATGGTTTCTCAGGTGGTGCAAAATGGTTTTGGCAACCATCCACCGTATGATGTCTCTCCAACTTGCTGGTGCTCAGCAGGAAATGAGAAATCGATTGGTTCGTTCCATTTCTCATTCCCCACCTATCGCACCGACCGCAAGCGGCATCTGGGGAAACATTGTTTCACGCGGACTTTCAAGGGAGGCTATGGGGAGGAGGTGCTAATGTTGACCCCATTTCATATGAAACAACACCTGTTTATTAATAGGGGGGGGGTGTCCCTCCAAAAGTGGTCTAATTCCCCACATTTCACCCAGGGAGAACCACCCCCCCTATGAATAAACAGCTGTTGAAGAACTTCATGTGGGGTCGACGCTATGCCTTATTCACCAGCGTTTCCTTTAAGGTTTGGGTTCATTCCACGCATAAACAAGGGTTGTAAAAGATGGAGTCCATGCTATCCGCAAGCCATAGGAGGCAGTGTAAAATATTTGACCTATTTAAGTGTCCGAGTTTTTTTTTGAGTGGCGACACCGCTCTCCCAACCCCATCAAGCAGGAGCAGCTGGCTTCACTGGTGCAGCGCTTCCACCTGAAGCTGCAGCTCCAGAAGGTTTTGGCGGAGGAGAGAAGGCGCCAGCGGGTGATCTTGAGCGCCATTGCCTCGCAGCTGCTGAAGATGTTCGACGCCTGAGCTGGTCGAATGGCCGACTCCGACTCGGAATCGCTTCGGAATCCCTTCGACGGGGTCGACGCGAAAAAAGAAAAAGAAGAGAAAAAAAACGCTGACTGGTGCGAGAGGATGAGAAGTGGGATGAACCAACCCATGGGAAGCCCGAAAAAAGACGGTTCGAGGCGGTCAAAGCGCTGACTGGTGGGATAGGTAGGGGATGATGGAATGGAATGGACCAAGCCCAAAAAAATCACTGGTGCGACAGGTAGGGGCCAGGGGATGAGACATGGAATGGACCAACCCATGAAAAGCCCAAAAAAATCACTGGTGCGATAGGGAATGAGAGATTGAAAGCTTACTGGTGGGACAAGGAGGGAATGATGGAATGGAATGAACCGTTTGGGGAGAGTTTGGGGAGTCCCGAAGAAAGGCAACCACCAGTGGGGTGCTTGAAAGCGGGGTGGGGAACAAATCGAACGCTTTCCTCTTTGCTTTCCAGGTCAGATTTCCCTCGGGTCTGCAGAGAATCCGCCTGAAAGACTTGTGATCGGTGTGAGTAGGGAATGAGAAATGGAATGAACCCAGGCTTTGGTCTCCTTAAGGAAACCACACGGGATTGTTTACCCAGAGGTCCCCTTAAAAGAAACCATAGGACGGATGGAATATAGGGGTCATTCCATTTCTCATTCCCTGCTGAGCAGCAAGAAAAGCAAGAGGCGCAAAAAGGCGCTGGGAGCTTGAGACAACGCTTTTCGGGCGGTCTGTTCAAAAAAACAAATCCTGAAGATCCTTGAATCCAGATCCGTACCAAAGGGGTTATTTGCGGAGTTGGTGCCCTTTGTAGTTGGGGATTCTGGAAAATCGGATTGAGCCCGAACCAACGGTAGGGTCCTTCGCTTTGCCCCGAAGATTGATCCCATCGTGCTTGGGGCTTGCAACCAGACCCCAACAAACCCGCACAATATGACAGGTTTCAAAAAGGGGAATGGAGGAAACCCTGCACGAACAAAGCTTTGCGGCCTTCTCATTGGCTCGCCTGAGAACTTCATTGGCCACTGATAGACCCACAGCCACTCCAGCACCCACCCCACCTCCCAATTCCACCTCTCACCCCATCCCATCCACCCGACCCTCCAACGCCTTAAGTCTCCACCTCAACCCCACCCCAACCCCAACTCAACCCCACACCACTCCACCCCACCTTGATTCCCAATTTCAGGCCCACTACTCATTCCAACTCCCACCTCCCACTCCAACTCCACCCAGCCAAAGCCGCAAATAGGCCAAGGGAGTTCCCTGTTCTGCTTTTCCCTTCGCTGGCCCATGTTGGGTCAAGGGTATTGAAGGGGTGTAAACGCTGAGGTGGAGACGGAGATGTGCAGCAGCCCGGCTGCACAGGGGGGCTGAGGCTGTGACCGGACAAAGTCCTGCACCCGTGGGTGGTTTATTCCAGCAATAATCAGGAGGTGCGTCCGTCCCGACTGGTACAAAGTGGATCTCTGCTAAATTTGGTTGCCTGCTATAGCGGTTAAATTGAATATATATATATATATATATGGTAGTAGGTATAAAGGTATAGTGCTGGTGGAGTGCTCAGGTCGTTTGCTGAATTGTTCCTACGCACCAAGCCCAAGCTGCTATTCATGTCAGCTTGGCCAAAGTCAATAAGGCGTGAAAAGTTGGAGATTCCCAACGTTGTACCAGTTCCCCTCTATCCAATCATGCAAGTAGGAGCCCCCAAATGGAAAATCGTTCAAAACCCTTCAGTCGTCAGCTTCCATGATTATTGGAGGGAAGGGGGGTCCCCAACAGCGGACATTGGGAAAGTCTTTTGGCTGAGGAGGAGGTAGACATGTTGGAACACCCGATCGATATTCTGAGCCGTAAATATGTCCTTTCATGAGCCATGTCAGCGGGGTGTGATTTGGATGCCTTCGAGAGGCCGACATTTCAAGAGACTTTCCAGCACCCTCCGACTACTGCCAGAAACATTTTTCCAAAACACGGCGCCCACCAATCAACGTCCTTTTGTCAGGTTCCATGTTAATTGGCGGGAGGGTAGTCGCAGGGTGCTGGTGGATTCGATGATCGGGCACTCGTGGCAGGTGTGTGATCGACATTGGCGAAGCAGATCTCTATGCGGCTCGGCTTATTGATGCGCCCTGGGGGGCTTTCGGCGAGTCAATTTGGGTGTCCCCCTTGTAGAAGTGGGCTGAAAGGCAAAGCAAAAGGAAGCATCAAGGGCACACCCGTATGGGTGGTTTGAACAAGACCTTTTGTGGCCAGTGAAAAAAAAATGAGGTGCCTTTGTGGGTGGGCTGAGAAAGGGAGGACTATAGGGAATTATGTCAGATGTACCAAGTGGAAGCGGGTGCTGGGAGTGCCTTAAATGTTCCACCCCAAGCTTTGAAGCCTCTTGCGGAACTCTGGGAAGGTTTGATTTCAGGGGCAAAACCGGTTGAAGAATGCTGTGGGATTTGGATTTGGAGAAAACGGCCGCCAAATCCATGGGATCACGGGAGAACCTACAGCCCGGGAAGTCTGCGATTGGCTGTGCTGGGAAAAAGCAAGGGTGCAGAGAATCTGGACAGTTCCCTGAGGCTGGTGCAGTTCCACACACTTGCACCGCCAACAGTTTCACGCATGAACTCGTGGCGCGCTTCCCCAAATTGCAGCCTTGCCCAAAGTTGCCGCATGAACTATGTTGACCTCAGAGTTCGTTCGGTTGAGTCGTGGCCTTCCGGCTCGCCCTTGCCAGCTGAACGGATCGTCCAGTTTCATGGCAGCGGCATTTCCTCCGGTTGCGCAGGCTTTGCTTGGACTCGACAAGGAGGCGTCCGAGAAAGATTTGAGTGCCGCGGGCCGCAAAAGAGTCGTTATTGCGAGCCTTCCCGAGCTGAAAACCCTCTGAGCGTTAGTTGGGTTCCATGTACCAGGGTTCCATTTGAAGTACCGATTTTTGACCCTGGAATCTCCAACAGTCGCAGATTCTGTGGAAACTGCCAAGCCAAACACAGCTAACCTTTCTTGGCCGATCCACTTAGCAAGTGTGGAAGGCTGTTGCGCAGACGTGGCGAGCTTTCTTTGGAGGCCTGCACGAGGCATGAAGCTCTTGTGGGCGATGGGGATATGTTTACTGAATGCTCTAGACATCAAATCACACACCGATTCCCCTCCCATCCAGAAAAGCTGACCTCGAGGCGATCCGGATGCGAAAAAACGGGGCACCTCCCTTGTCACTTGCAAGGCACAGGACTACAGACCAAAGAATTGGAAGCCCGAAAAGGTCAACGAGAGCACTGGAGGAAAAAGGGCCCTTCCAAAAAGGCATGAAGTCCGGAAACTCGGATAGTTGAGCCTAGAGTACAACAGCTTAAGCATGAATACTTAAGCATCCGAAGAGGCCCTCAACGAAAACAGCAAATACATCCTTCCAGCGATCCCCCGTGATTTTCACGGGTCCATTTGCACTGCTTCACTGCCCCAATCAAAAGTAGAAGAACAAAAAGCTGACCTTTTTTCGGCTCAGAGCTCGGCTTGAGGGGACACTTGTTCTGTATTTCGTAGGCCTCACCGCCTCCACCTCTCTGACTGAAACCCCAAGCCGTTTCGTGAGCCGAGGGAAGGCCTACAAGCAGAAGTCCCTGCGAATGCACCCGGACAAGGGCGGGAACACTGAGGAGTTCCAAGCGATGAAGCTTGTCTTTACTGGAAATATGTTTGTTTTTTTTGTTTTTTTTCCAGGGGCTAAAAAGACCCAAGCTGATTGCATTTCTCGGGATAAGTCCGCCAACGGCTGGTTCCATGGGCGCAAGCACTCCGTTGGTGCTACCCTTTTTTTTTTGTTTCGGAAGTGCAGGTTTGCCGAAAAGGTCTTGTGGAACCCCCGCCTTTCCACTCCCAGAATCCTTTTTGACGGCAGAATAATTGACTTTGCTTGGTGGCTCCCAGCCATCCCCGGCTTGCTCTTGGTTGGTTTAATTAGTTGTTGGGTTTACATTTAACCCAGCAGCTAAACTTTTAGCTGTGCTGAGTTTCGTGCTGCGCACCCCTTTCCTTCGCGCCTTCGGACTTCAGGAAGGAGGCCTACGAAGTCCCCGCCTCAGACCTCGGATCTCGATATCGACCGTAGATCCACGGCCGGGATGGACGAAACCGTATGAAAAAGTGGGGTGGGGGGGGGGGGGGGAGCCCACCTAGCAGCTGGTGCGAATTGAAATCGCTGATGTCCATCCAGTGCCGCCGGTGCGAAGTGGATGTTGTCCATGTGAATTTTGACTGAGACATGCTCCAAAATGGCGGGTGGGCATCAATGTCAGTGAATGAACCCGCCCTTGACTTTGCATGGCCGCTGGGGGGGGCAAGGACGCCATTTTCTGCGAAGACCGACCGGTCCGCCGTAGAGAAGTGGGGGTCAAGACAGTGATTGGTTCTTCTCACTTGCCCAAGCCGAATCAACCTGTTGGCCTTTTGTTTTTTCCATCGGTCCATATTTTCTGGCTCCAAGAGGGAATCACCTGCTCTTTTTGGGTCCTTTGGGCTCCCTCCTTTAGAGTTCCGGGGGGTAACCGGTGAAATAGGTGCACCCAAAATATAGATTTCGGTTCTTCTCTTGGTGTCCGTTTAAACCAACCAACCAACCAACCAACCAATCTGACAAGTGTACCCTCCAAACACCACACACACACACACACCCATCCACACCCACGCGTATGCGCATGCGCACGCGCACACAACGCACAACCCACATGCACATACGCACAGGCACACTCAGAACACACAACATACAACACAAGCACTGGTGTTTACCATAGTCCAAACCACCCGGCAAGACTTACGACTTTTCGAGCAGCTTCTCGCCGTTCGGCCCGAGATCCTGCTGGACCCGCAGAAGCGGGCGACCTATGACCTGAAAGGCATCGAGGGGGTGCGGAAGATGGAGGCCGCGCAGACGGACGTGATGCCGCGTCTTGGCTGTGCACACCGGGTGCGTCAATTTGTGCCTCGTGCCTTCTTGGGGCTCCCATATTTTGAGACACGCCCAGCTCTGCTCCTGGGAAATCAGAATTGGGACCGAGACAAGTTTGTACCAATGGAAAACCCACCCAGCAAGAAGGATAGCAACGTCAGGAGCGAGGCAAGTGAGCTGGTTGCCGGGTTCCCTCACTTTTGATGTTGGCAGTCCTTCCCAAGGGGGGACCAGCTTTCATGAGCAGCTTCATGTTGGAACGAAACATGTTACCACAAGATGAGGCAGGAGGTGTCCACGCACCGCTTCAAGCCCATCGAGGCCCTCCGCAAGTCATGGAGCCGGAAAAACACCAGCCGCTGGCAACACCGCTGGCCGCAAGCAGCGGCGCTTGCAAAACACGCGAATGAGCAAGCGAGGAAGCAAGGCAAACAGAAGCAAGGCAAAAACCTGCACACGTTCGCAAAGCACACCCACACACAGCGACACGCCAAAAGGCGGAAGTTGGATCGTTCCCTTGGGAAAGCTACTTCAATGACAGTTGCTGGAATCTGTTGCTAGCTTTTTTTGGTAGGTTGCTCTACTATGCTCTACTACCTGGTTTTTCATGGCTTGTTGTCAGGTTTGCATAAACATCTACAACTGGGCACTGCTCAGTTGGAAACAGAAAGTCCGATCTTGGACACGCAATTTGCCCTCCTAGCATTGACCAGTGATGTATCCCATAGCTCCAGGCAAACTCTGCCAAGTGCTTTCAGGGCATGAACCAATGAAAGTCTAGGTTGTGTATACCCCGTTTCCCCCGACTGACTTCATCCGCTCAAAAGGGGTGCATCGCCATGTGCGTGGCCAGTGTTCGACCGAGGCCAGAGGCCCTGCTGCAGTCGCTGGGGCAGATGTCGCTCTTCCAACGCAGCTCGGTGTTTGGTGGCTCTTTGTAGCTCATGGCGTCTGCGCGCCTTAATCGTATGACTGGTTGGTCCTTTGTGGGTGGACAAACTTACCACTGGATCCTGGTTGGTCCTATTTGCCTCCAACTTACCACTGGATCTTAGTTGTGGGTCCTGAATCTAGGTTTTTGAACGATCGTTTCCCCAGGGCTGCTGATGCCCTCATTCGACACCCTGATTGCTGGATGCCCTAACACAACCGTTTACGCCAATAGGAGGCGCTTTGGTTGTAGCATGTTCACTTGTATTCATGTTTACTCGGAAAGATGATAGGGCTGGCCGGTGATCCGTTGCGGGACCTCGAAAGGTCATTGAGACCATTGATCATTGGTCCGCAGCCTCCTGTCTTCGTGTCCATTTGGCGCGACCTTTAACCATTCTACTTCTGAGAACCGAGTTTCCCGACTGAGCCGCCTGTGCTTTGCTGCAAAAAGGTTGTTTCAGTGCAAGCAAATCCATATTTAGGTGTAGAACCCCACCAAACACAGACGAAGGCCCACTCGCGCTGCCTGAGGGCTGCTCACGTTCATCCTCACACTGTTCGCAGGGCCGCTGGGCGGAAGAGCGAGAAGTCGAGGGACTCCCAATTTTTCGGAGGGTGGTCCTTTTCAAACTGAAGCATTCCCACTACAACGGGGACACACACACACACCTAAAATACAACCAGGGGGTTCTGAATTGGGGGGTTTTCCAGTTGCCTGTCCGCAAGGACTTTGTGCATCTAGGCTTCAACTTGCCAAGACACGCGGCTTGTTAAGCAAGTTGTGTGTTTCATGGCCGCTGGATTGGGCCGGGGAACCAGACCTTTCGTGGACATGGAGTAGTGACATTTTCCCGGTCACCCCCGCCTCCGGGGATAGGCATCAAAAAGAACTTATTAGGCATCAAAAAAAATATATGCTCATTCCTATGGAGGAAAGGAAGGAAGGAAGGAAGGAAGGAAGGAAGGAAAAAAGGACCCCCCCCCCCAACCACCCCGCTGATTTGTAAAAGGTTGACAGTGATTATCGCACCCTTTGCTGAATCATCACTTCTTCGATCATCATCACCCTTTACTTCTTCGATCATCACCACCCTTTGTTGAATCATCACTTCTTCGAACAGGGCTGCCGCCCCCCCCCCCCAACCCCCCTGCTGATTTGTACAATGCTTACAGAGCTTAACGCACCCCTTATTGAATCATCACTTCCTCGAACATCATGGGGGGGGCTGCCGCCCCCCCCCCCCCAACCCCCCAGCTGATTTTCAGAACGTATACAAAGCTTAACGCACCCTTTGCTGAATCATCACTTCCTCGATCATCGCTCTGTTTCTTTATTTCTTTCTTTCTCTCTCTCTCTCTCTCTATATATCTCTTTCTCTCTCTGTTTTCTCTGTTTTTTCTTCATGTTTATATCTCTGCATGTTTTTCTTCACTGCTTGCGTAAATGCTGCGCCTGCGTCAAACTCTGCACCGTACCTTGCGAAAGTGCTGCGCCTGCCGCGAAATTGGTACCTCTTGCGAAAGTGTTGCGCCTGCCGCGAAATCTGGACCGCACCTTGCAAAAGTCCTGCACCTGCCGCGAATCTGTACCTGACCTTGCTAAAGTGCTGCGCCTGCTGCGAAATCTGTGCCTGACCTTCCGAAAGTGTTGCGCCTGCCACGAAATCTGTACCTGACCGTGCGAAAGTGCGGCGCTTGCCGCGAAATCTGTACCGCACCTTGCGAAAGTGCTGCGCCTGCCGCGAAATCTGCACCGGACCTGCGAAAGCATTGTGCCTACCTTGCGAAAGTGCTGCGCCTGCCACGAAATCTGCACCTGACCTTGCGAAAGTGCTTTGCCTGCCACGAAATGAATAAGTTGTTTTTGATCCCCAAAAAGTTGTTTTTTGATCCTCTGATTTTTCATTTTTAATAGTAAATCAATGAGAATATTTTGTTTTGATCCCTAATAAGTTTTTTTTGATCTTCAGAAATATGTTTTGTTTGATGCCTAAAAAGTTGTTTTTGATCCCTCACCCACCCCCAACCCCCACTACCCCCACCCCCAGCCAAGCCGAGGTGTTTGGTGACACTGCCCTTCATCCTCTTCACCCTGAAGTGGGATGGCGACCAGTCCTTCTCTTGGGCATTGGCATTTGTCCCGGTGTGGCGCCACGGCAGAGTTTTTTTTGGCCGTTGCTGTGGTGTTGCCTTACCCAAACAAGCGTCCCTTCTTCCCACGTCCGCGCCCATGTCTTGGGTTTACCCTCCCCCAGACTAACCTGGAAGCTTCCGAACGGACCCCTTTGGAAGACCTGGTTTCGTTTACAGAGGCCTTCTGGGAGCTTCCATGTGGAGGGGGAGTAGTTTTACGTTTTTGCCGCGGGTTTGTGATTGGAAGTTCAAAATCGGCTTGAGTGCTTTGGCCCTCCATGTCTGAGGCCTCTCCAGCTAGTCCACCTGCCGGAGCCTTAGATGTTGCGCATCTCGCTTACGTCGGAGCCTATCCAGAAGACACCAAACACTGCCACTGACATGGAACCCGCCAGAGGGTCCACTTTAAAGGAAACTTGTTTTCCAGGACCCCAAAGCGTCAGGTTCCATGTTATTGCGGAGGGTAAATCCTTTGGCTTCTAGGGACCAGCTTGCTGCCGCAGGTGACAGTCGACAGTTTTTGGAGCAACCTGGGAGCGAGTACTTGATGTCCTGTTCCCATTTTTCGCGGTTGGTGTGGGCCTTGTGGGCAGCGAAGCTCCTTTTGGGACAAGGATTGTCAGAAAGCTCGAAGGAGCACTTTCAACATGTTCCACCCAGGGGCCAGGCGCAAAACACGTTGGCCGGTTGATGTCTGCGGGGCCAGGCGCAAAACACGGTGGCCATTTGATGTCCGCTTTTGCTGAACAGCCCCATGACTTGCCACTTCGCCAACCAAAATTCTGAAAAGCGAGAGGTGTATGCCCCATTTCCTTGGGAAATCAAGATTTGTGAGTTATTTCGGGTGCGAAATGGTCTTTGATTCCGGTGTCCAAGGATCTGGCTTCTTTGGCACCTGCGGCCACAGGCGCCTGGAGGGTTGCGATTACAAGTTGCTTTGGCCTTGGTCAAAGGCTCACCTCCTGAGCTCATGGATGTTCAACTTGAGTCACTGGAGGGGTTGGACCATAGTGGCAAAGACAAGGTTTGGGACTTTTTCGGGCCCAGTCCACTCAGGAAGTGGGAAAACAAGCCGCACTTTCTCAATTCCAGAAAAATTGGGCCCCTCGACCCGAACCTTCCGGTCAAACACATCACTGGCGGGTCAAAGACCGACCCTTGGGTCACCTTTTCCAAAGCAACAGGTGGGAGCCTCGGGCCCAGTCTACTCAGTGGGAATTTCTTGCCGCACTTTCTCCATTCCAGCGGCACGGGCCCCTCCGTGGCACGAACCTTCCGCTGGCCAAGCCAGTTTCCCTCAGCACCAACTGCAACGAATGTGCTCAGTATGTTTCAAGAGCTCAAGTCTAAGATGGTTTCCAGCCCAAAAACCTCCACTTCCCAGAGAAACGGGGTATACACCAATTGTATGGTGGCTAGTGGCTGTCTATCCGAGACCATCTTGGATAACATCAAGGTTTACAAGTCTGCCGCAGGCTCCCCAAAGAGCTCCACAGGTTGCAAAATCCAAGAGGATGAAGCCAAAAAATCATGACGCAACCACAATTCGAAAGAGAGGCAGGGAGTCCAACGTCCATCTTTGCGTCCAAAGTGCTCACTGGCAGGCGGCTAACGGCCAAGTGCCAGAGCAGCAAGCTGTGGCTGGGCGTTGACATGCGTTGACCGGGTGCTTCGAATAGAAGCTGGAAAACAAATCCGGGGGGGGTTGAACAAATCCAAATTGGGGGTCATTCACGGAATCGTTGAGAATGGTCTCGGGGGTGGTCTTGGAACGAAAGTGGTTGATAAGGGATTCTCACCAAAGGCGAACGTTTTCTGGAGGTAGACTTGCAAGACCAGTGGGTTGCAGTGTGTGGCAAAGCCGCCACAAGAAGCGTCTTCGGCCAGAACTGTGTCGTTTGTCACAGTTTGCCAAGCTTTGTGAAAGAAATGGGTGGATGGATGGCACGGCATGGGATGGGATGGGGTGGGCTGGGCTGGGCTGGGCTGGGCTGGGCTGGGCTGGGCTGGGCTGGGGTGGGCTGGGCTGGGCTGGGCTGGGCTGGGCTGGGCTGGGCTGGGCTGGGTGGGTGGGTGGATGGGTGATGTCCAAATCAAATCTGAAAGTTTATGCGGGCCAGGGACCTTCATGGGAACAGATGCGATCCAAGCAAGAGGGATTCTTCAGAGATGATCCTTGTCAGAAATGGCAAAGGCATGGAGCATGTTGCACTCCCATTTTAGCTGGACGGTCGAAAGCCGAAAGGCTGCTCAGAGCCAAAAACCAAATACTCGCTTGCCCCAAAGGGAATCGACCTGAGATGACTTCTTGGTTTCTTTTGTTTCCATGTTTCAATGTCCGAAGGTTCCAAAGGCGAGCCTTTTGTCTGGGGTCCATTAAGGGGGAAGACTGCTGGTCAAACTCATGGACTTGCCGCACTTCTGCGGTTTCAAGCTTGCCCAGGCTCGAAGAATGCGAGTTGACCACTGCATCAGCGTTTCGCTGCTTCTACTCTTCGAGATCTTGCTGGTGTGCCGCCTGGAGGCTGGATGGGTTGGAGGGTTTGCCTGTTGCACCCTGCAAGCAGTGAGCAGTTGGTGGGTGTTGGAGGGTGCCCAGTTTTGGGGAGTGCAAGCCAACGCGAAAATTTTTTGGGTCTCGTTTTGACAATCCAACTGGATGAGGGGCAAAAGTCCCAACAGCGCCTCCTGGAGGCAGACCAAGTCGGCTTACAAAGCTTTGTCGTTTGGGCGCATCTCAAGCCAAAACGAGCAGGTTATGTTTTAGACATGAAGGATCCCCCCCCAAAAAAAACACAAGTCCATTCAACACAAATTTCCCCCGAGTTCTACACCTCGGCTCAGTTTTACCATTGTGAGATCTCGCCCAGGATCCGCTGTTTAGCTCCTGGTTAGTGCGCCTTGGCAAAGTCCTTTGCCAGCTGAGGTCCGGACTCGCCGTTGAAAGTTGGTCCACTTGCCTTGGAGATCCTTGAAGCCTCGAGACGGCCTGGTGCCCTCAGATCCCCCGCTAACAGTGACTAACTTTTGGCGGGTTAAATGGAAACTACCGCTAAAGACCAAAAGACTGAAGAGCTAAGGGGATGCATGGGTTTGCTTTGATTTTGCATTGAGGACCTGTGGGTTTCCTATCACTTCCCCCTTGGACCAGGCACAAAACCTTCCCCATGTTGTCCAGCGATGCAATCAATTCTTGCGCCTTTAATTCTGCGCGCGCGCAGCGGCCGCCCAAAATCAAGAGGCTCCTTGGCATGCTTTTGCCTTAAATCCTGAGACACTCCCCCCGCCTTCCAGTTGGTCAGCAAAGGGGGGTCAAACTGCGAGCGTATCTCAATGGTTGATTTCTTTTCAATGTCTGGAGACACCCCAAGCGCTGGAGGCATTTTTCTTGAGAAGCTCCGCTCAAGCGAACAGCTCCGCTCAAGAACCGGCTTGGTTTCCAAGGTGCCGAGCTTAAGATCCATTGCCCAAACCAACCGAATCAAACCGATTCCCCTGTTTGCTGTCTGTTTAGGCCCTAAAGGTGATCACTCTTTTGGGGGGCAAGTGAATGTTGGTTGTAAACGGTGTTTCAAAGATCCGGAGTTTGACTTCTTTATCTTACAAGTGAGCTGGACAACGGATCACACGCTGCACCTAGGATCTTGCCCTGGGTAATGCTGGAGGCAGGGCTGCCATTGGGCAATCGGTGCTGAAAGCTCCGCTTTGGCAAGGGATCTTTGTAAGGAGATGATTTGTGGACGCCCACTCCTGCTACCACGTTTGAACCAAGAAGGTCAGCTACATTTTCGGGCGACTTTTTTTTTCTCTAGCCCCAGCAAGCCCCATATGGAGTTTTGCGTACCCCGGTGGAGCGAATTCAGCCGCTCCGGGAGGTGTGGTGGCTCTACTCGAAGCTCCGCACCTGCGTGGACTTCTGGCAAGTCGTCGACCCGGTGGCCGCTGCTGAGGCTGGCGGCCAGGCGCGAGAAACGCGTGCGCGCGAGATCGAGATTGCAAGAACCCATTCCCCGTTGCCCAGTGGTGCCCCTTTTTCCTTTTTTTGGGGGGGAACGGCTCCCCTTTCAAGTCAACCAACCAAGAAAGGATGCCCTTTTTTGCCCATGGCCACTGGGCATCTGAGCATTGGGATGGATGGATCAATGCTGGGACCCTCTTTGAGGTCCAGGAGTTTCTTGAAGCCCACTTCAGCCGCATCCTTTTCAACCCAAAGTTCCGTTTCTCTTGAGCCACTGGTTGGATCAAGAAGGGAGCCCGAGGCGTGCCCAAGGAGTTTGGAATTAGCGACCATGTTGATCTGAGTGAGTCTCGGAACCCCCCAACTCATCTAGCGGATGCGACCTGTTGGTTTTCCTGTGCTATTTTGTCCAGGTCACAAAAGGTGATCACTTTTTTATGTCCAGGTCCCTTGCAAATCAGGAGTTTAGGACACATCCTCCTGGGCAAAAGTATCCGACAGCTTCCCTCACGTCCTAACGCGGAAGTGGACGTAGAGAGCTGCGGTGATGGTTCTGAATGCGTTTAGACTTCGAGACCTCTGCTCATTAAGGGCAAAATGCGTTACGATGTGTTTGCTTGGGTGAACCAAATTCAGGGCAAGCTATCAGGGCATGCCTATTCCTTGCGCAAGCAGATCGGACCAGGCCGAATAGGAGTTGCAATATGTGGAAGCTAGATTGGTCAAACCATGTCGAGTTGCGCCTGGACTTCTCGCAAGGGTTTCTGTTTCAGAATCACGCTTGTCAAAGTGGCTAGGACCCTTTCATCTTGGTTTGGGGCGAAGGAAGGGGGGGCGGGAGCCCAAATAAGCCCCAAAGGCTCTAAGGGCCAAACAGGAACTAATTTGGGCTAAATCCCCCCTCCCCCAGACCCCATGATTTCAATTCGTATGTTTCGTGGTACTTGCCTTCTTTTCCCATCACGGAACAGCTGCCAGGTCCTGCGGTCCAGCAAGTTTTGGCTCTTCATCTTCAGCACCTCGGATGCAATCAGTTTCGAGTTCCCCTGAAGCTCTCCGTCTAAAAACAGGAACTACGTTATGTTGCTTGAATTTAAGCTCGACATGGTTTTTGAGATTTTGTGAGTACATGAATACATAACTACACATAAATACAGTATCATAGAAAGAGCGCCGGTTTGGCGATGGGATTCACCTCTCCAGTTCAGTGGCACTGCTGGCTTCCCTTCAGCCACGAATGGAAGGAACCTCAAGGGCTCCCTTCCGTGACCATCACTGTCGGAAGCAACGGGCTGGCGATTTGAAGTACCCTCCCAAAAAACAAGCAACCTGCACAAAGGTTCCCTTGAAAGGAAAATGGTCTCCCGTAAGTCCCACCAAACTAGAGAGCAGATTCGCTGGCACGAGACGAAGTCCCAGAAACCTGCTACCTCAAAGAAAGGCCATATGTCAAAACCAATGGTAGCATTTTGGGGTAGGTGAATTCACAACCCATTTTAGACTAGTTTAGTGGGGATTGGGATGTTCACTGGGGGTACGATTTGGATTTTGACCCATGGCCATAGGTTAAAAACATGCAGACTGTGGCTGAAGGGGTCATTGTGTTGAGTGAGATCAGCAATCGGGTTGTACGGGCGGTTGTCAAATTAGGCACCTTTTGTGACCTGCAAAAGGCAGGCTCCAGATATTTGGTTGGCTTTTTCCTGGGTTGCTCAAGTTGTGTCATGTCACTCGAAAGGGAGTCCTTTTCTGAAAAGTATCACGGCCTGTAGGGACCCTTACAGCCACGGGCAATTGCAGGTCAACTCCGGAAGATCTTGGCATTCGGAGCTTTAGCGTCCAAGGCTACCTGCAGATGGGCGTTTGTCGGCTTCTCACTGCTCTGCTGATTGCTGCCCGGGCAGATGTGGCTCAGGGAGCCTCCTGGCGCCGCGAATGCAAGAATGCAACGGCCCCTTTTTTGTCCGGGCTGTTTCAGGGATGAGATTGGCCTTGCCTATTGGGTGGTTGCAACATTGTTGCAACAGGGCAAAGGTTGCTGATCCCAGTTACTAGTGGGGGATGTCGCAAGGCGCACATACAAAGAACTTGTGGTGGTTGTTGCTTCCAATAAGAAATACACCCAAAAACTTGCCGGTGCTCAGTAGGGAATGAGGGAATGACCGCTATAAACCATCCCCTATGCTTTCCTTTCAAGCAGCGCGGCTCTTCAAAGTTCCGATCCGAGCGCGGCTCGTGAACTCCATGGGGCTCCGCTTGGGCCACGGGTCTCCAGGTTTCTTGGTATCTAGACCACTCACGTGCCAGGGGGTCACCGATCCGGACTTACAGCTTCGACACCTGTATTCAACCGCTTCGCTGGGCTTTCCTGTTTTGGACTGTGAATCCAGGGGTAGTGCGGTTTCGAGCATCACTTGGGTCGGTGGAATGCGAGTTTCCTCGTGAGGGGGGGGGGTCCCTGAAACTGATCTGATCTGTAAAACTTGCCTAAATGAGACCCTGCTCACGGGCGCGGCCAGCGAGCCAGTCAGGTGGTTGGTGCTGCTTCCGCTCTACCTCTCCAGCATCCTGCTGGTGGTCCTTGCTTGTTTGGCTTCTTGGCTGTAGCTGCTTGATCATGCCGCACCTACACATTACACAGGGGGCATTGTGGTGTGTAAGACTCGCGAGTGGCATTGGAGCTGGTGGTGCCAGCTGGCAAAGCTTCGGGGGAATACATCACAAATAAAGAGGGAGGCATGCTGAAGGCTCCCACAGGCCTGGAAGGATCAGCTTGTCCTTTCCGGATTCGGCAAGAATGGAGCGTTTGCCCACCCTTTCAATACTTTTCCCAGCTGCTTCTGTGATTGGCCTGGGCCTTGCAGCAATCCCACAAGAAGTTCAGTGCTTTGCTTGCACGCCAAGCAAAGAGGCGCACTGAATCAACTGCATGTTTGCTTCACGTCGCAGGTTAGCAAACTCCGGAAAGACGCAGAGAACCCAGGCAGGAGCAAGATTGTCATGAATCATGAGCGCCAGTTGAAAGGGCAGTCTTGGAGAGTACGGTAAGCAGGCTTGAGTGCATTTGATTCTGTATGCAGTGACATGTTCCTGCTGACTTCTTGTCTCGAGGTCGGACTAGTTTGGAAGTATCATGACTTTAAGCACAAAGAATACAATCTTATTGAGCAATCACGCATGTGGCTTTGACCTCCAATTGGGGTGCCACCTCAAAAATGGCCGGGGGAAGCACCTCGTTTTTGAACCTTAAGGGGATGCGTTCGAGCCTTCCGCAGGCGGGCCGCTGTGCTGCATCATGATGGCCTGGCTCTCGATGGTATTTCTGTCTGCTGGAAAGCTGGACGGCGGCTTGGCCAAAAGACACGAGAGCACGAGGGCTGCACGTGACCTGATCTATGCAGGTAAGCAACCATAGGATACCATAGGCAGCCTTTTTTAAGGTCATTTGCTGAGATTCTAGACGGCACTGGTTATGGGCCTTGTTGGCCATCTTTGTTACCAAAAGGACGCCTATGTTAACAACCCACTGCTCAGGTGGTGACTACTCGGCCGCCTGGGTGTTCTGGCCCATCTTCACAGCGGCGTCTTTCGCGGCCCGGCGAATGGCGTGGGCGTGGTATCTCTGTGAATGACGCGGAATCTCTCAGCCGCGTTCCCATAGGTGTCCTTTTTGGTTTGCTTCAAAATCGAGGGCGGTTCCTGGTTTAGATGGGGGTTTCTTCCATTGACCAGAGAAACCCATCGATTTTGTCCACAAGGCCCAGGCGCGTTCCTGTGCTAAGCCTTCCTTGGTGACTGGTTCGCGTCCGGAAGGATGAGGCCTTCCGGAGAGCCACGGGAGCCGGGCCTCGCAAGATCTCAAGACGATCCCTTCGGTCGGGTCGGGAGGGTCGGGTGGAGTGTCGAGGCGCTTCCTGCCTATTTCTTCGCAGGTACCCCGGAGAGCCTCCCACAACAAAGATGGATTTGGTGGTTTGGTGTGTTTCTCGCTGCAATGGAAAGTACAGACTCCCATTTGATTGAATTCAGAGGGAGAATCGTCAGCAGCCACTGCTATAGAATGAGCGCAATGACTTCTCAAGAGTGCTATAAAGGCGCAAGGTTGAGTATTTAGACGTGGGCCTAATTCAGGCAACCCCTAGTTGGTGTGGTTTCGGAATTTGATCCCCCTGACTGTTGTGGAGGGTAGATAGGAAACCACCCCAGAACACCACCCAACCACCAATCCAACCAGGGGGAAGCTGCATAAAGAGAGGGTGGGGCGGCCCCTCCAAAAGTGGCCTGAATCCCCACTAAACTAAGGGACACACCCCTTTTTCATCAACCAGGGGTTATTAGTCCGGGTTTCCCATGAATCCAAGCACGGGGCAGTTGAGATTTGTTTGGTCCGGAAGCATCGGTGCCTCCCCTTGAACTCGTTACATGGTTGCAGGTTGACTCCTTTGCCAGCTTAGTCGGGTGGTTCCACTGCCTGGTTTCATGAGGGTTCTACTGTATCAAGCCCCGTACAAACCTTTAGGGCAGGAAGCTCCGGACAGCGGCACTCCTGGGTACGAACCCGAAGATAAGCGTAGAGCCGAATGTCTGGACCCACGGTTCGCTGCATCTATGTTCTCACCTTCAGTGTTGATCCGTGTATCGGTCAAACTGTGTTGTAGCGTTCGCCCTCAATCTCATGTAACCCTTTGCACGCATGCACGGTTTTCTAACAACGGAACCCTCATGTTGGTGATGTCCGGCAACCAGCACCCTCCGACCACTTTTCTTCTGCGCATGTCCCACGCCCCAAGCGACATTGAGAATATCAATCAGCACCTATTGGTTGCGTGTTGCTCGCTGGCTACTCGCAACACCGATTCGCATGCAGATCGCTGAGGCAGCCTGCTGCGTCGGCTGCATGACGCTGGCGACTTGCCTCTTCCCGGCTGAGAGCCTGCCCCAAGAGACGGAGTGAGCTCGATTTTTCCTCCACCCACGGAGCCTGCAGAAATGATTCTATTAGCTGGGACGAACATTCGGCGAACATCCATGTCCGTTTACTGCCGGCCTATGGGTGATGAAGCCTCGCACGGCCGATGGCCGGAAGTGCATCAAACCTGCCTGCGCTTAATAGCCCGAAATTGTTAGCTTGTCCAACGGGAAAGCAAAAAAGGAGGCGTAGTGATTTAGTTTTCCATGCCCCTTATTTAGCACCCAGCCACATTATTTCATGCATAGTTCATTGAATGGGTGAATGACTTCTGCGTTGCTGATTGAATGTGATGCCATGCGGCCATCACATGTTTGCCACGCTTGCGGGCGGTGCCCACACCACCCTGTCGACCAAAGCAGGCAGCGGCTTTCTACGGTGAACAGGAATTTCTGCGAAGCCTTATTGATTGGCCCTGTGTACTTCTATAACTGCTATAGCCAGCCATGTGTTTGAGCAGGCTTGCTCACTTTCAAGCCGGCGAGCTACACCCAACCCCTTTCTTCTCCAAAGAAATGGGTCACTCGAAGCGTGTTTGGCGCTTCGAGCTGAAAGATTTTCGTAGGAGGGTGAGTAGCGCCCCAGTGGCTGCGCAGCTTTGTGCAGGTCTGAGCGGTCTGCCAGCCCTTGTGCTTTTGACTTTGGGGAAAGTGAGCCTTTAATCTACTCTGCAGCCCTGATGTACATGAAAGCCATCAGAGGAAGCTTTGTTTGGGGGGACCCCCTTTTTGGACCCCGGTCATTTGTACGGGGCCTTGGTGTTGCTTCGCGAGGACCACTTCCACGGGTCCCCCTTTGAGAAATGCAGGGCCCGAACTAGCAAGGCTTGCCTTGGAACGTGTCCACAACGTTTCCCGACTCAACCATCCGTCCAGCCACCGGCGAGCTCGGCTCTGTTCGTGGTTTGGGAATGATTTTGCTAGGCTTTGCCCTGGTGACTAAGTACATCCAAACACGGCCCAGCTGGAACACAGGCTCATTGTTGAATGTTTGCACCTTCGATTATGCAATTCAACCATACCAATGATTTTGCAAAATTTGGATTGCCGGATGTTTCCTTGGCATTCTCGGCACGTGCCTTTGAAAGTTCGCACTCTTGTTGGCCAGGCTTTACCTGTTCCCTTGCCGGGCTAAACTAAGTGACCCCTCCAATGTAGAAGCCGTTACTCGCAGCTACCGGGGCATCTGCTCGCCGGGCGTTTACGCCAAAGGCGTGGCGCTCGCTAGCTTTTTGGTCCGCCATTGCTTCGCCTCGGCTTGGGTCGAATCGTTTTGCGATTGAATCGTCTAAGGGTGGAAGTACATACCCCTTGTTTATACCCCTTGGCTTCCATGTTTTCCACCCCACTTTATAAGGGTGTATACCCCTTTTGGGGAGAGGATATGGCATGAACATCAGCAAGTCTCAGGGGTTAATTTGTCCAAGGGGTATGTAAAAGGGGTATGTACCTTGGCACCCCTGCAGATTGTTTTGTTGGGTGGCCTCCCGGAAGTCTTCTCTCTTTGACCTTAAATCGTCAACCCCTTCTGGGGCTTGCGGAAATGGCTTCACTGGTTTGACCGACGCCGAATCCAAAACCCCGCTTTGGATCCTTTCGGTGAAAAGTGTCTGTTTTTTTCCACTAAAGCTACAAGAGGTGATCGACCTTCTCCTCGTTCGGGGTAAAAGAGCCACCCAGACTTGAGGGTGGCGTTTGGGTTGAAGCTCTGGTTGCCAAGGCTAGGGTCTAGGACGACTTCTGGTTACCCCATGGTGCTGAACTTGACTGGAGGTCCTTGGAAGACCAGTCTCCTTCATATCAACTCCTGGCACGTTCCACGTGGAGTTGTTGCATGTCGGAACGCTAGTCACCAAGCCGAGGACTGGAAGCCATGGGCATTTGCTGAGAATCAGCTGTGAAAAGCCAAGTCCAGATGTCTGACCAACTGGGAGGGAGTGGGGTGGGGCACGGGGAGGGGGGTTGGGGGGGCTGGGGGGGCTGGGGGGGCTGGGGGGGCTGGGGGGGCTGGGGGGGCTGGGGGGGCTGGGGGGCTGGGGGGCTGGGGGGGCCTGGGGGGGGGGCTATTGGGGATTGCGGTTCCAGTTGTGTAACAGCCCCGAAGCGCCCACCTCTCCAAGCTTCCAAGGGTTCCCTTCGATGGCATAGGGGCGGGCTGTGAGTTACAAGCTGCCTTTGGCTTGGCTCTTGGGATGACTTCAGGCCCATTGGCCTTGGTGGCCTTTGTTCAGTCCAGTGGACCGAGGTCTTCCTTGGCCCCTTCAGTCGGTTTCTGTGAGCGACATATCCTCAGGTGGCAGCTCTGCAGCGCCTGGAGGTGCCGAGGCGGGCAGATCCGACCCAAAGCTGCGGCTTGCCCTCGCGGGTTCAAGGGCATGTCCAGGGAGACATGGATGGTTGTGGTCCACCATAAGCTGAGAAGGAAGTTACCCCTTAGAAGGGGAATATCACCTCCATACCTCCAAAACCCATACCTGAAATGCCCTGGGCAGGTTGCGTCCATTCGATTCCGTCCAGAGAGCGCGATCGACACAAAAAGTCTCCAAACAGGACTGAGGAAATACCTTCTCTCACCCAAAGCGAATCGACCTGATCTACTACTTTGGATTCCCTGTCCATACTTAGTCATCGCCTTTTGTTGCCAGTCCTCTGGAGTGAGTTTGTTCAAGCTAGTGATTTGCATCCTGAAATCGGCTTTCGGGTTGCCAGTCAGGGGTTCGAACTCACATAGTTTGACTTGTTGGTGCTTGGTGGTGAGGGCCGGGGGTCAAAACCCCAGTGATACTGCCACTTAAGATGGTGTCCTGGTGTTCTTTCCACTTGGCTACTTGCAGGTTTTCCTTATTGATCTGTTTCGGAATGGGGGCTACTTGGTTGGCTTACTTAGGTATCCAGGCTTTGGGTTTAGGCAGGTGGGCATCTTTCCTTTTGGCTCACACCCAGAAAGCGTTGGTATCTGTGGTGTTTGGAGCTTTTCGGCTGCGATTTGAAGAAGTTCCTCTGGGGTGGCAACCCCCCGAAAGAGCCTTCAGGCAAGCGCCTTCATTGCTACTGGCCGCTGTAAAGCTGCTCGGCCGCAGAGCTTTGGGGATAAAGCCCAGCAACTAATGCTGACCCCGGGTTGAATTCAGCCCTCCTGTGAATGAGGGGGTGCTCCCCTCTACTGATTCCAGAAGAAACTCAGAATAACACCCTGGGTTGAGGAACGGGGGGTCCTGAAACGAGCAACAACTAGGAACAATACATTAGCTGAGGCGATGTCCCCAACTGCACCACACCCCCAAACTTTCGTGGATCCCTGGCGCAACCCTACCTCAGAGCCGCCCTCGGACCACCCCAGAGCCCATCTGGCCTGAGAGCCCATCGGCTGTTGGAAAAGAAGCCTGGGATGGCGGGACTCTCATGCCACATGGCCTCCAGGCGAAGGCGTCTTCTTGTTACGAGGTCGCCTGTGCCCAAGAACCCAAGAATTATGCAAAATGGTTTTGGACAAGGACATGTCAATGGATTGCTTCCGGATCCTCCAACAACCCAAAAATTGAAAGGCGTCAACACAAGCCAAGCGAACGGGTGCTAGCTTTGGAACACATTCTCTTGCCCTCCAACTGAGAAGTTTGCATTTGGCACCCGCTGAATCTTTCAATCCGCCAAGACGACCCATTTTCACACGTCTTGAGAGTGCACATGTTACTTGGACCCTGGCTGGATGCTATCAGCTTTGGAAAGAGCCCAGTTCGCGGTCACCATGAAATTTTGTCATCGGCGGGGACCAGGCTTTCATGCTTTGCCATTTGTCCCAAGCTCAGGAAGGGTCGCCGGCACCCGCCTGAGATGGAGGGCTGGGGTGAGTTGCCTGAGATGCCTGAGATCTGTGGATCTTTTCTATCACAGCTATCATTCCCACGGGAAAAGCCAAGCATGCGCGAGACTTTTTGCCAGCTTGGTTCTGTAGTTCCTTCCGCACAAGTTTGAAGTGCAGCTTCTGTGGGCATCGGTTGGGGTACTGCACGTCTACCGGCCGAAGCAAGTGGTGGTTTGGCCTCTGGATTTTGTCATGTGCTTTGGCACAAGCATCCCTTGGGGGACATCAATTCGAATTGGTGCATGGTAGAGCCCATTCTGGCAGAATGAGTCAGAACAGTTGTTCCTGTCATACAGCGTTGAAACCACGAAAATGGAACCATTGCTTCTTGGTATTTACGTCGGGGAATCGAATCAAAACCCTTTAGCCTACTTGGCTCTTCAATTCGCCAAGCGAGAAAGTGGAGATTGCTTGGTTTTTTTTCACCCCCTAGCAAGGTGAACCCCACTGAACGCGGGGTGTGAGCTTTGGCTGTGGTTGTCAAAACCGTTTTGGTATCCCATTTTGGTTCGGTGAAAGTTTTCACCACCCATTTTAGCCGTCTATTTAAGTAGTTAGCTTGAATCGGAGGTTGAAAAGCCCGTGGCCATCCGGTTTGGATCCATCGTCTGGCTTGCTCCGGGCCCGGAGGCACAAACGGAGAGACTTTCGGCTTAGTTTTTGTCGGTGGAATCGGCGGAACTGTCCGAAATTCCCCGGGCTTGTTTTGCAACTCGATTGGCCGAGTGGCCGAAATTCTGCTTCTGGCGTTGGGCCAAAATCAGACCAGAAAGCCTTTGCCCCAACTCAAGTGGTGGTTGCACTTTGGACTTCCAGTTCTTCGCAGCGCCCTAGGTCAGTGCGGAACCGCGAGGAGCTCTTGGAGTGGTTGGCCATCTTTGCGCGCTCAAAGGGGTGCCCCAACCGGAAACAGGGGGGGGGGGGAGTCGAAGCAGATGCGATCCGTTGGAGCGCAGATCGGTATACACATAACAGAATGTACATATCGACATGCGTACATGAAGAAACTGAGGTGCGTATGTGCAGATATGCTCGTCCAGGCTATGTCAATGATACAATCGTAGGAAATTCGCCCTGTATTGGAGTACTGTTGGTGGTGCACGGTGAAGCCTCTGAGTTTCGGG